TTAAAGGAATATTGTTTTAGATTATGACACACGATACACCTAGTGGCTAAAATGTGTAAGAAAGCATAAAATGTCAGGCCTCTTAAATGAGTGAATGCATAAATAAATAAACGAATGAACAAATGAACGCTGGATTTGGTAACACTTTCAAACGCAAAGTTGTACATTTCATTTAGGCTGTCATAGAGTCTTATATGTGTAATTTAAAAGGTTCGTTTATCTTGGTAAATACACAAAATCAACATTTGTTCTACGACCTGAGAGCTCTTCTTTTCATGCCTCATTCTCTTCAAACGTCCACATCCGGTGATTTATTACGTCTTTACACGTCTTTACACTTTTTTTTACAACATCAAACTATTCAGCTATCTTTATTTGTTTTAGCTGTTCAGCTTCTTGCTTCTACAGTGAAGTTAGGAAACCCTTTTGACTTTTGTTTGTTTCTAGGCTGAAGCAATGGTGAGAAGACACAACACATTTCAACACATCTTCAGTTATAGATTTGTATTTGTTTTATATACATCCTAAGCTATTTACTTTTTATAGTGTTACAGATTCCAAACAGGTCATGTTCCATTTGTTCCATTCAACTGTTGTAACACTCAGACAGAAAACCAGACGTCTGCGGATGTTGAACGAAGGAGTTTTAATATACACAAAGCAGCCGTAGTCAAAAAGGGGAAAACAGAGCTTGTAGTCAAAAAACAGTCCAAAAGTCAAAACACAGATCATACACACCAGCGAAAGTACCAAACAAATAGGCAAGAGGCAAAAACGAAATCAAACAAAGCAGAGGGTCAAAAAACACAGTAAGCAATCAGAACAGGAAGAAAACACTCAGTAGTCTCAGAGAAACAATACCTTGCAGTGAGTCTAACTAAAGCACGGGCTTTTCTACTCTAAACTACCTGTCATGTGATCATCAACACAGGTGAAAGCAGTCAAAACTCAGGTGATTGTGAGCGCTGATAGGAGTGCCTGTGAGAGTCCGAAGTCACGTGAGACTCCATTGTATCCTGGGAAATGGAGTTCTCGTCGGAGTTGGATTCCGAGTGCGGCTGCTCAGTCACATGATCTCCCAGAGAATTCTGGGAGATGAAGTCCGTTTCCTCCATAGAGGGAGCCGAATGCATGACAGTACCCCCCCCAAAAGAGTCCGGGTGGGCCACAGAACGAGGGTCGCCAGGACGACCACTCCTCCCACCACCAGGTCGATGAACAGGGGCCGAACCTGAGCTGTCGATACGCTGGACTGTCGCATCCTCACTGTTGTTCCTCAGACAGGCGGGCAAAGAACAGGTGAGCCTTTTGCGTGGACGTCCTCTGGGACGAGGAGCAGGTCTGTCAGGGTGCCGACTGTGAAAGTCTTGGATGAGACCGGGGTCTAACACATCTTTGGCCAGCACCCAACATTGTTCCTCGGGTCCATACCCTTCCCAGTCCACAAGGTATTGCAGGAGCCCGCCCCATCTCCGCGAGTCCAGCAGTCTACGGACTGCGTATACCGGAGCCCCTTCTATCACCTCCGGTGGCGGGGGCGTGACGTCTGGTGTCACCTCATCCATGGGCCCTGTAACCACTGGTTTAAGTAGAGAAACATGGAATTAACGAGAAACTCTGAACCTTGGGGGTAAATCTAAACAGTAAGTCACATCATTAATACATTTAACAATCTTGAAAGGCCCTATATATTTAGGCAAAAGCTTACGGCAACTCCCCTTTGGACGTCGAAAGTCCCTTGTAGACAGCCACACTCGGTCTCCGGGATGGAATGTAGGAGTCGGACCTCGGTGTCTGTCTGTCTGTTCCTTCTGATGTTGCAGCACCTCTCTGATGTGTTGATGTGTCTGTTCCCACACCTGTTCGCTGCATTTCATCCAATCGTCCACTGCAAGAACATCTGTTTGGACTCCTGTCCAAGGTGCAAGTGGGGGCTGGTACCCTAGAATACACTAAAAAGGTGTCAGTCCTGTAGAAGAGCAAGTCAATGAATTTTGTGCGATTTCTGCCCAACTCAGAAATCTAGACCAATCAGCAAAATTGTCATGACAAAATAATCGCAAGAATTTTCCAAGTTCCTGATTCGCCCTTTCGCATTGCCCATTCGACTGTGGGTGATACCCCGATGACAAGCTCAATGACACTCCCAGATGCTCAAAAAATGCTGCCCATACCTGTGAGGTGAACTGAGGTCCCCTGTCTGATACAGTGTCCTCTGGAATTCCGTAGATTCGGAATACAAACTGGAACAGAGCCTCTGCAGTCCGAAAAGCACTGGGCAGATTAGAAAAAGGTACAAAACAGAACCCTCTGGAAAATCTATCAATTATCGTCAGTACTGTAGTGAACGCTTGTGATTCTGGTAGGTCAGTGACGAAATCTACTGCAATGTGGGACCATGGTCGATTAGGTATGGGTAGAGGCAGCAATTTCCCAGCAAGTAACAGTTTGGGTGTTTTGCACTGGGCACAGGTTGAACAGGAAGAGATGAATGAATGGATGTCGTGATGCATGGATTTCCACCAGTATCTGTTAGCTAATAGTTTGTGGGTACGGGTTTCTCCTGGATGGCCAGAGGTTAAAGACGAATGAGCCCAAGTTCTGAGTGGCTTGGGAACATGCCGTTTCTCTGGAGGACACTGGTCAGGTACTCGTGTGTGGGATAAGGCCTTCTCTATTTCCTCATCAATTTGCCACCTAATAGAGGAAATGTTTACCTCGGGAGGAAGGATCCTTTCTGGGGTCTCGTTCTGCAAAAGGTTAGTCTCTTGTTGATATTTCCTGGATAGAGCGTCAGCTTTAGTGTTCCGAGAGCCTGGTCGATAAGTAATGCTGAACTTAAAACGGGAAAAAAAAGCGACCATCTAGCCTGTCGTGCATTAAGTCTCTTCGCCGTGGGAAGATTTTCCAAGTTTTTGTGATCTGTCAAAACGATGAAAGGATGGTTGGCGCCCTCCAACCAATGACGTCACTCCTCTAGTGCTACCTTTACAGCCAATAATTCCCGATCCCCTATGCCATAGTTTCTCTCTGTGGGTGTCAATTTATGAGAGAAAAATGCTACGGGATGTAACTTGGCTGGAGAGCCCGTCCTCTGGGACAAAATTGAACTCATCCCCATCTCTGAGGGGTCCACCTCGACTACAAAAGGTTGTGTGGGATCGGGGTGACTAAGAATGGGTGCAGTGGTGAACGCCTCCTTGAAAGACTGAAAGGCCTTCTCTGCTTGTTTGTTCCACGTGATCTTCTTCGGATTTCCTTTTAACAGTGAAGTCAGCGGGGATCCTATGGAGCTGAAGTATCTGATGAAACTATGATAAAAGTTAGCAAAGCCTAAAAACCTCTGGAGCTCCTTAACCAACGTGGGTTGTGACCATTCAACCATTGCTTCCACCTTGTGGTCATCCATCACAATTCCTTGTTGACTGATGATGTATCCTAAAAATGAGACAGATTGGAGGTGGAATTCGCACTTCTCCCCTTTCAGGAACAGATTATTCTCTATTAGTCTTTCTAATACCATTCGGACATGTTGTACATGTGTTTCAAAGGAAGAGGAGTAAACTAAAATGTAAGCGATCAAAAAGTGTCCTAGCATGTCTCTGACGATGTCGTTTATGAAGGCTTGGAACACAGAATTCTCTGGGAGATGAAGTCCGTTTCCTCTATAGAGGGAGCCGAATGCATGACAACTGTCATACATTGCATCATAACATTATTTATTTTTATTTATTTTACAGTGTACACTTGGGACTACTTCTTATAATGAGATAAAAATTGTATACTTTTTTGACATATTTTTGCTGACTGAGTAATCAACAAACATAATTACAAAATTCTAGAGAGAAAATGTTAACAAATCAAGATTTTACAAAATTCGGCACAACACCAGTTTATGAGGAGCCTGGCCACTTCCTATTTCCCCCGTTATATTAAAAACAGGACTGCAAAACAGCAGAGGGCGCCAGTGAGCAAGTTCTCAATGAATAGGAGTAAATGGAGCTCAACAGCTATAAACGAAGAGTTAAAATAGTTTCTAATCACTCGCCCAGAAGTTTCCTTTAATTTTAGTAAAATTAATTAGAAGGACGTATTTCACTAAAAAAGCAAAGAAAACTTACCTAGTTCATTAGGTGTACAGTGAGGTTTAACAGTGTTTACATTACTTATTGACATACATTGTAACAACATTGGTATACATGAGGTATATTATATTGTGCTGGGGTTCACTACCCCTTTTGATGTCTAGTGCCAATTCGATGGACAAAAAACGGCACGATAGCTTACCTTAAATTGTAACCCAGGACACTTAAAGCTTGCTAGGTTAGATAACTATAATGAAACTGCCTGAAATGACACTGTTCATGTTCTAATACTAGACTAAACATAATGAGCATCATTCATTGGGCTGTGAGTGAATTCATGCTTTACAGAAGACCCATGCTGTTTGGCATCATGGTGGCAGGGATTCTTTATATTTTGCAAGACAACAGTTCTGTTGTATGAGATCTTGATATAGATCATATCTGATGAGAGAACCTGACACCAAAAAATATCAGTTTCTAATATGCCTTTGCTGGCTGGTTTAGCCTTGCTAACCTTAAGATAGAAACCAAGCTAATGTAAGATTGTGACTGAGGGCCAAAATGGTTTTTGTTGCACATTACTGAATCATATATTTTACTTCAGCAAAAACTTTTCTTTATCTAGAAAGTGGCACTACAATGTTACAATTTCATACTAATATATATGTTGAAGAATTAAATAATAATTAAATAATGAAATAATGCTATAATAACAATATATTATCTTCAAAGATTTTATTCCTAATAACCATTTTGGAACATTTCTATTGGTCCGCTAGTCATGAAGTGTTCACACAATATAGAAAGGGCTAAATGGTGCTAAAAAAAAATAAGAAACAGAAAAAATTGAGTTACAAAGTTTTGAATTATGATAGTGATGGAACAGTAAATAAATTAAGTAAAAAAAGAGACTGATTTTATTCTGGACAAACTGTTGTTTTATTAAGAAACTAAGAGGACCAGAGGGTGTGCAATGTGTAGGTGTGTATTAGACAGCTAATTTAACAATAGTCCTCGCTGACTGTGTCTCCTTTACAGGTAGCTCCTGCAATGCCACCTGTGGTGCAGGTGCGTGTACGAGTGCGGCGTCCACCACTGCAGCTGGACCAGGCTGACCAGCAGGCCCAGTTGCCCTGCTGTTGAACAGGTTGGCTCTTATCTAGAAAAGACACAGACGAATTAATGAATAAAGGTATGACCAAATGTTTGACTGATTGGTTGACTAACTGATCGATCAGGTTAGACAGAGCCAATAGCTGGACCAAAATGATGTACATTGCTGATCGAGAACACACAGTGCAGACACATGACAGTGTGAAATGTGTCCAGAATACACGATAAACAGACCAGATAATAAATATACAGAATAATCAATACACAAGACAAGAAACATTAGACAAAGCAACAAAACAATACATGTTAATGGGCATCATATACATGTACATACACCCATACATACATACATACACGTGGATTGGGATCAAGCAGCACATGAGCGATGAAGGAACTAGTGTAAACATTGCCAACTGTAACCTGTACGCAAAGACTGAGGTCTCATAGCTTCCAAATAGTTAAAGAATTTTAAAGTGCAGGTGTGCAGTGGTGGTAAAGGAGTGTGTGATCAGTCAGTGGTGGATGTTGTCTAGATTAGCCTAGGTGGATGTTGGGCATCATGCGTTCAGTATTCTGGCTGGAACAGATACTCCGGTACCTTCTACCAGTTTGTAGGACAGTGAAGAGTCCATGAGAGCGGCAGGAGGGGTCATCCACGATGTTGGTGGCCTTGTGGATGCAGCGTAGAAGGTGTCGATGGTGGGTAAAGACACCCCAATGATCATCTCTGCTGTCCTTCCAATCTGTTGTAGTGTCTGAGATGGTGCATTTTCCATACCAGACCATGAGACAATTGGTCAGGACACTCTCTATTGCCCCCTGTAGAATATAGTGAGAATGGAAAGGGGGAGGTTTGCTCTCTTTTGTTTGTGGTGTTGAGGGTCCAGGTGGAATCGTTGCTGATGTACACACTAAAGAACTTGGAGCTTTTGACTTTCTCCACAGGTAAACCATTTATGGTGATCACCACTAGTCCTCCTAAAGTCAATAATCATCTCTTTCATTAACTTTAAGAGATAGACTGTTGTCTCTGCACCAGTCTGCTACACCTCCTTCGTGTATGCTGACCTGTCATTGTTGCTGATAAGACCAACCAATCTAGTGTCATCAGCAAACTTGTGAGGATGTGATTTAATCTATGTATTGCAGCACAGTCATGATTCAGCAGTATGGCTAGCAGGGGACTGAACTAGCGTAGTCCTGCGGAGCCCTGGTGTTCAATGTTCAGTTCAGCTCGAGGTAGGTCCAACACCATGAGGGGGTGATGCTCCATTGGAGGGAATACTGCGCACCCCCAGTTTTGTATTTGCATTTGTTGTCCTACAGCTTAGACTTTATTTTTATTTTTTCTTTTACTCTTTAAACTGCATTTGCTTGAATTACATGGATTTTCTAGGTACAGTTCAGTTAGTTTTCTGTTGACGATACAAAACTTGTCATCTCAACTCTATTTTAATGTCTGGCTTCTACAGCATTCCACCAACCGTAAGCCCCATATCACTACAAATTTGTAACAGTCCAGTTAAAAACAACCGTGGAAGAGCGTTAATTTAAGTTTACCTTAATCAATCCATGTAGCTAGCATTAGCATAATCAGAGGCTGAGTTTATATTTCCCTAAACAGATTTGCTAAAAGGCTGTTCTGGACAAGAAACATGGACGCCTCAGAGTACTTTAGACAGATATCATTCCAGTCTAACAGCAAAGCTTACTGTACAGACAGCACTGAATTATGGATTAACATCGTAGAGCAAGCAGAGCAACATGAAAACTAAACTGAAGAAAGTTTTCAGCGACCACACCAAGGTGGCATGTCCAATTCATTTTAACATTTGAACAAGATGAGTAGCAAAGATTTGTTCATTTTTTTGTCTGTGTGCTTCTCAGTAATTATGCAGGGAGCTGTGGCACTCAAGTGACATTTAAAAGGGGAAAAAACACTACGAAGCAGGAGTGTTGTGTAAGAGTGGCAATTTGAATCATCAGTAGCACGTGTCCTCTCACTTTGTGAGCTTTTACATGTGTGCAGTCTACAAATTTATTTGGTTTTCATGTGTGGCTGCTCTTGGTACACTGATGTTCATGAAAATTACATTTTTTTATTTTACTATGTGGTAAGCTTTGACATTTTTGACTCTAAGACATTGTGTTGTAATGGTAATGCAGATGAAAATCTACAATTGTGTGATAATAATTACAAACAGAGAAGCTTATTGTGAGCAGTTCCTGGAGTAAGGGGAGTCATACTGAAATTGTGAAAAGTATTTAACAATCTGAGTTCTAAAACACAGGGTGACTAAAAAAGATTAATTCGATTTCAAAGCGCCATATTTTTACAACCGTGAGGTGCCTAGGAACCAATCACATACCAATTGAAAGAGGGGGTCATAGAGTTTCTGACTGTCACCAGAAGATGGATCCCTTCAGTCTGCGAGGAGATGGCGACCCCTGAGCAGAAAGCGTTTTGCATTCTCCACTTTAATAGCAGTGAACCTCCAACAGCTTAGAGCATTCGTTGTTGGTTCCACACCACTGGATGATCTCCAAATGTGAGTACATTGACACCCGACATGCTCAATTGAGTACGGGATGAATTTGACTATCGTGTTGATGTTGTCCCTACAGCTGGAGGAGGTCTTTTTGAGCACTTGTAAAATTACATAATGAACTTTATGCTCACTTAAACCATTTACAATTTACTGCATTGTTCTGTAATGATTTACAAGTGAAATAAATCATTTTGAAATTAGATAAATCTTTTTGAATCACCCTGTATAACAGCTGTTGTTTGTTAATGCTTTGTTACATAGCACACGTTGTAGAGGCCCTGAATGGAGCAAATGGCTTCATGTTCTATACGTAACAGACATGAGGACACTGACAGGTCTGCTACACACATACCTTTCATTAGTTCGTGACGAAGGATTTGACAGGCAATGCCTTCGAAATACAGCGGACACAGGCACACGCACTCTCCATCTATCTGGGCCACGGTGCCTCCATTGTGGCATGGTTGGCACTTACACACACTGTACTCGGCCACGTACTCATCCAGTGCCCTCTGCAGGTTCACTCTTCTGGGCTGGGCGTCCGGGAAACTCAGTGGAATCGCATTGTAGATGGGCTCGGGCTGCCAACACAGCCAGAATCATTAGTCCAACATTGCAACAGCTACATGTTTGTATACATATTAGCATTCATTCATAGCTCATTTAAACAAGCTGAGTTATTCCACCAGAAGTTAAGATTTTAAAGCAAATAAGTAGATACTGTGCTTTAGTCACATCTTGACAGCAACACGAAGTTAATTGTGCAAACTTAAGTGTGTAATTATGTGATTACATTTAAATAAACAGCTATTGCAAAATCATAGTACGCACAGTTTTAAGGGTTAATTTGGGTGAGTGGTATGAAGACAGAAGTAGATGAATGACTTGAGTGAACTTCATTAGGTAACTTAGGTAACTTGTACAGAATGAGCTTGACAAAATCCAAATCCAGTCCCTCTAAAACATGATTCTTAATCAATCTGATAATTAAATGGTGAGTTCCATCCAGAGGTGGTGCAACACAGCTGTGTCACCCTTTGCACATTTGCAATGTCACAATCAATAGTCAACACCGCACAAAAGCCAGTGAAAGGAAACCTATTTTTATGGATTTACCACCAGTTTAGTGTTAATGTTAGCTATTGTGATCCCTGGTTCCTATCATTATCCTATCATGGAAGAGAAATTATTAAATTTCTCTCATATGCACCATTTTATTCACTGCTTATCAGACAAATTATGCTGAAATTGGGAAAATCAGTGGAATTTTCCTTTAATTAATTTAGAAGTTGAGTTTGGTACAGCAGGAAACACACTAAAATGTGCAGGCCATTGGGATCCCAAGACCAGAGTTGAGAGCCATGGCTCTAACCAGAACCCCAAAAGCAATACTGCTCATTTGGAGATTAGTAGCATTCTTTCAATACAAGAGGATGTAAATCTTTAGCAGTGGTGGAACCACTATACACCTTATGCACAGTCAGTCTTTCTATGGTGAGGGGATGTTTGTTTACCTCACTGTAGATGAGGGCAGGCAGTTCTCCGAGCGTCCTCGCCCACTCCACATAGTGCTGCCAGTCCAGCACACCATCTTTACTGAGCTGAGACTTCATGGCTGCTGCTGACTGCGGGGAGCCTCCCTTCACTGCACTTATCACCTTATCAATCATTGCTTTGTTTTCACCACCACCTTCTGTTGGACACACAAGGAAGATTCACATTTGTCACTTGGGCTTAAAGTCTTTGTCCTTATTTACAGAATAAAAACAGGCAAACATTCATGGCTATTCATATAGTTTGCTGTCACTGTGCTTTGTTTTCTCAGAAAGAGTGTTAAGAAGCAACATTTTTCAATTGTATATATACACCGATCAGGCATAACATTATGACCACCTCCTTGTTTCTATGCTCATTGTCCATTTTATCAGCTCCATTTATTATGTAGGTGCACTGTGTAGTTCTAAAATTACAGACATTAGTCCATCTGTTTCTCTGAATACTTTGTTAGCCCCCTTTTACCCTGTTCTTCAGTGGTCAGGACCCCTCACAGAGCAGGTACTATTTGGGTGGTGCAGTAACACTGACGTGGTGGTGGTGTGTTAGTGTGTGTTGCGCTGGTATGAGTGAATAAGACACAGCAGCGCAGCTGGAGTTTTTAAACATCCCAGTGTCACTATAGGACTGAGAATAGTCCACCAACCAAAAATATCCAAGCAACAGTGTCCTGTGGGCAGCGTCCTGTGACCACTAATGAAGGACTAGAGGATGACCAACACAAACTCTGCAGCAGCAGATGAGCTATCGTCTCTGACTTTACATCTGCAAGGTGGACTGACAAGGTAGGAGTGTCTAATACCAGCGGAACACAGTAACATGCCACCACCATGTCAGGTCAATTGGAGGTTTCTCTGCTCAAACACACCCACTTAACCTGGCAATTAACAGATAAGTATAATCAGGTGTGAACGAGCAGGTAAATCACCAAACTGGGCTGAACCAGAGTTGTGCACCCCTGGTTTACAGACTACAGTCTGTAATTGTAGCACTAGAACATGCACCTAAATGGTACGTGGGGCTGATAAGTTGGACAACAAGTGTAGAAACAAGGTAGGATTTTAATATTCTGGCTGATAGGGGTAGGTAGGTAGGTAGGTAGGTAGGTAGATAGATAGATAGATAGATAGATAGATAGATAGATAGATAGAAAACCTTACAGATTCACATACCTGTAATCTTGTCTGTCAGTGTCTTACACTCGCCTGATGGTGGATGTTTTATTTCTGGTTCAAACTTTCCCAGAGATGTATCAACTTCAAACTTAGCATTAATACCAATTTTAAAACAGTCCTTCAGCATCGTTTCTGTCACCTCTAGAACCCCAAAAAGAAGAGTAATCAATAGTACTCAGGTGCATCATGTTTATTGTATGCCACTTTTATGTGTAGAGATTTTCTGTATAGAACTTCTTATCCTCATAAAAGTATGGGAAGCACACCATTCTTTGTAATAGTGCTAAGAACTGTCTTTTCCTTTCTTTGCATTTTTATAATAACTTTTAACATGCATCGTGAGAAATAAGCAACCCAAGTGGTAGTCAGATAAGAAATAAGAAATAATGAATTCAAATAGTGGTCATAAATATAATTTAACTGATGATTAAATAAGGAAGGCAAATGATGGTCAAAATGTGAAAGAATATGAAGGCCAAATGGCTGGGGCAATGGTAAGGAGAAGTAACCAAAATGATGACAGAATAAGGATGCCTTATTTGATAAGATGTACAAATAAAGCCAAATGATAACACTTCTTCATCAACCCTCTGGAAGCATATGGAGCCAGGGATTTATACTTACTCTTTTCAGTAACTACATCATCGTTGAGCACATAAACAAGGTCATATTCCCCTCCTACTCTTCCATTTTTGGTGTAATGGGTTCCATAGTCCTCCAAGAAGCCATAATACTGGCCCTTTTCATATTCAATAGGCAGGGCATCCACATTGTCCAGGAATGTCTCGGATACTTCCAGGCTTCGTGACCTCAGCCTGTATGTGCCTAGTTGCACTTTGCCTCTTACCCTGAAGAAGGTCTTACCCTGCGAAAGGACTCAGATAGTATCATGTTACATTGTAAAAAAAAGTTTTCAGTCTACATTCAAAAAATTTATTTTGCATTGGTTTAACTTTGGTGGTTTTTAAAGTAAAAAATAACTCCCCTACAAATCTAATCAAAATGCATGGAAAGAGCTACATGGTGGTACACTGATTTGTGCATACTTGCTTTGAATATTTCTTTAAAAGCCACAAGCTCAGTTTGTATTCAAATAGTACTTTAACTACTGACACTTTATTTAGATTATTTAGCAAATAATAATGAACCTAGCTTGTAACTAACTAGCTAACTAATAAGCTCACTCATTCAGTCACATTTAGCAGACTGAAGATTCTCCACAAGGGGTAGCTATTAGCATTCCAGTAGCTTTTGGTGCTTCATAAGAGCAGTGCTTTGCATCAATGACACTGTGTCCTTGTTACAATGCTGACTGTCTGTTTGCACACTGAATTTTAGATGATTTCTTGCACCAGGCCTATTGAAATCCAGTAGGTGCCAGTTGGAGGCACTCCAAAAGAGAAAAGACACCCCAATCATCTTTCTTACCTTGGTGCTGCTGTACTCAGTGATGGTTTTGACCATGCTCGTCTTCTCAGTCTCAGTGTCTACTCCACCTGAGGCATCCAGGATAGATATACTCTTCTGAGTGGATGACTCAGTGGGTGTGAACTTAAAGGACAGTCCCAATGTGCTTTGGTAGGTGGTTTCTTTGCTCAGCTCTCTAATCAAAGAGTGAGTGTCTTGATAGATCTCTTTAGAACTGGACTCCTCTACTTTAGTCTGAAAGTGTAAGAATCAGGGTCAGCTTTGAAATTCAGTTACAGAGGTGAGTTACGTTTGACATGCAGGGCTTTCATTTTGAATGATCACATTCAGGCTGCAAGGTCATGTGATAGATTTCCATGAAAAAAAATCCAGCAAAAACTTTATTCCTTTAATTCATGCAACCACACAAAATGTCAAAACTGTTTTCCAAATACCTTTTTATTTATGAATTTTTGCCCCTTTAGGCAAAATCACATCTTCAGTTCTGAAGTGTTCTGAAATGTTAACTGGGTATTAATTTAAGAATAACATTTCATTTAAAATAAATTAGTTTAATATATTTTGACAACGGGCGGCACGGTGGCGCAGTGGATAGCGCTGTTGCCTCACAGCGAGAATGGCCTGGGTTCGATTCCCAGTCGGGCGACCAGGGTCATTTCTGTGTGGAGTTTGCATGTTCTCCCCGTGTCTGCGTGGGTTTCCTCCGGGTACTCCGGTTTCCTCCCACAGTCCAAAAACATGCAGTTAGGCCAATTGGACATGGTAAATTGCCCCTAGGTGTGAATGTGTGTGTGAGTGAATGTGTATGTCTGTCTGCCCTGCGATAGACTGGCGACCTGTCCAGGGTGTTTCCTGCCTTCCGCCCAATGACAGCTGGGATAGGCTCCAGCACCCCACCGTGACCCAGAAGGATAAGCGGTTTAGATGATGTATGTATGTATGTATGTATTTCCACAACAAGTCAGGTTGTGAAATTTTTCATCTTTAAAATTTTATGTTTTATGTAGTATTGTTATATTTTAATAAACCTGTGAATTATTTGTTTCTGTGCTTCAGGTGAGTTGTCACAGAATGACCTATTGGTCTATTTACTGCTCTTTTCAAAGATAACTAGATTAAATAATTGCTATGTTCTATCATCCACATTCTGAAATATCTTACCTCAAAGTGAAGGACAGCAACATTCCAGGGTACTCTGTCGTACTTCAGTGTGGATGGGTCCTTGACCCGCTCACATACTCCATTGTAAACTTTGTTATTAAATGGGTTCATGCGAGGGCCAGATCCCAGAATGTTGATGCTGTTGATAGAAAGCAGAGATGCAAATGTAGCTGCAGTGAAGTGGCACCCTTGCATAGTAACCTAACTAATATTGTCACCGGTTACAAATGACTTCTTTCAGCTTCTCTGTCAAAGTAATATTATTTATTTATAGCAATTATGGTGTAAATTATGTAGTGGATAGTGGAAGTGCTGGATGAGGGCAAGGGCCCCCATAATTTCTGTGGGAGATAATAGTAGTAGCAATTAAAATGTCCACTTTTTGGTGAAATAAGACCCATCCTTTTTAGTAGGCTGGCTACACTCCTGCTTTGTAAGTTTACAATTGCTGAATATTGCTGCACAATTATCAGCTGCCCATTACGCCATTCATCAGTAGTAGGAGACCATGGCAGGAGCACTGCTTACTAAGAATTAATTGGGTGGTGGTCCATTCTCAGCACAGCAGTGACACTGACATGGTAGTGTTTGTGATACTGGTATGAGAGAATCAGGCACAAAAGAGCTGCTGTGATTTTTACACACCTCAGTGTCACTGCTGAGTTGAGAACCAGCCAAAAATATGTAGCAAACAGTGGTGCTGTGGTCAAACACTGACCACTAATGAAGGGCTAGAGGATGAAAAAGATGAACTATCTAATTGTGCACCAGTAAGGTGTTCCAACAAGATAGGTGGTGTTTACACAGTGTTTAAAAACCCCAGCGATGCTTCTGAACCTGACACCACTCACACTCATACCAGCACAACATACACTACTATGGCACTACCATGTCAGTGTCACTGTTGAGCTGAGTATGGTCCACCACCCAAACAATACTCAGTCAGCAGTGGTCCTATGGTGATCCATTTCCATTGATGGACAGGGTAGAGGGAGGCTTGTGTTCCTTCCTCTTTCTTGTGGCTGTCTGGTTTCCTAGTGATTTTCTTGTGGTTTTGTTCTTTTCTGCCTGGTTTCCTGAGCTAATTTTGATTACGGACTTGCCTGTATATACTGTGCAATTATACTGTGATTATCTTAATATCAGTACATCCATCCATGTATCGCTCCACTCTATTGCAGCTATGTTAATGGTATTTGCTCTTATTTTTAATTGTTGTTTCCTCATTGCCTTGTGTTGTTTTACTTATTCTTTAAATACAGTGTTCTTTCCCATTTTTGCACTCTTTTGTAAGTTTAGTTTGAGCTTTTGACCCATATCCAGCGGCCCGGCCAATGTCGGACTCCATCACAGCGATGTTGTCACATGGAGGCCGGATTCTATCACATTCTGCTTCATCAGAATGGTCACCACAGTCGTTGTCCCCATTGCATACCAGACGTTTGTGAATACACAGACCTATAGGTGGACAGAGAGAAGAGCAAAGCAGTCAAGTTCCGTATCAGAGCAGTGGTCCTTGTTGGAAAACTTTCCATGAAATTGAAATGAGATGCAATTCAAAATTAAAACAGTAACATCAACTATCAGCTTAGTTCTATGATTAAATGAATAACTTAGTGAAAAAAAAAAAAAAATTTATGCCAAATGTAGTTGATCGGCCAAGATAAATTCGGTGTCCGCTGTTTGCTTCTTTAGTTTTGTGCTGGAGCTACGAGGTTAATGTAGCTAACAATTAATCAAAGCTCATATCGTAGGATACCTCAGTTACTTAACTGTGTTGAGTTGTTAAGTAACCTCAAATGGACTTTTGTGGTTTCTGACACTGTATGGCCCCAAAATTGTACTTTTTTTTAAACATGCCCTGGGCCACTTTGACTCACCACTCAGATGGCTACTAACAGCAGAAGGGGAGGAGCAGATTATTAAAACAGTATGCTCTTGCCTTCGGCATTTTGACCGCATTGAGCTAACTGGCCTCAGTGAGCTGATTAGCTAACCATGCGAACATTGCAATGCAAAATGTTTATCCTCATAGAAATTTGAACATAACATATATAAAAATTATTAACAATTTCTTTGTCTGTCTATAAACTTAGTTTAGATCCATGGTGTGATACCATGATTTTTTGCTGTTGTTAGCCATGTAGCCTTTAGAATGCTAACTAGCAAGCTATTAGACTAAAATAATAAAGTTTTTTAGCAATCATGTATAAGAGATGGATTAGTTTGTAACCTAAAATCAAATTGAAATGTTAAATTGAATGTTATGTTTTTGAATGTTATGTTTTTGTAAGGTTTATGTAAAGTAGTTTAGTTTATGGCTTATAAACAGAGTTGTGAGGGTTGTTTTAAAAATGCATTCCATTACAGATTCCTGATTACTTAATAAAAAATGCAATTGTAACCTAATCCAAAGGATTACTATGTTAAAGTAACATAATCTGATTACTTTCCATTACTTTTGGATTAGCCTACTTGTCCTTTCATATAATTAAATAAAGACAAAAGAAAAATCAGTATGACTTTTTCCATCAAGAAAAAGTCATTTTTTACACTTTTTTTTTTAAAACAAAATGATAGATTATAGGTGGCTTCTTGTCCATCTATTGTTTGACATTCGTACTTGTATTTGAAAATCAGGTATTCTAGAACTACAGAGATGGTGGGGCCATAAGAAGCTGATAAAAAGTTGAGGAAAATGACAACTATTAGTACACTGAGACTTAAACTGTAGAATTATCCAGTTTATTGAGTTCAGCTATACAAATGCAATTTAGTTAAAAACTACACTGCTCTCAAGGCACTTATTTGTTAAAAATCGGTTGCTTATCAAACAAAAAGATCAGTCTGGCAGAGACCTTCATCAATAATTATTTAATACAGACCATTCTAAAAACTCTTAACTCTTAGTTTGTGATCTTGTGGAATTTCTACCAAGCTGTCAGAGTTTTTGAAATCATTAGGCTTTTAAAACAGGGATGGTCTTGTGTTGAGCTAATAAACAGTCTGAGATTCAGATTTCACTGTTTGTTCTACTGCTGTCCAAGGTTTGTCTGACTGATTGGGTCTTACCAATCTGATTATGTATTGTAGTTGATTACAAAGATGTTGGAAGTTGGAAGGCTCAAGTCCTCCTCGAGTTTTAGATTTTTATAATGTGGTTTGTTTGATTCTGGGTGGTTTGTTTTTCCAGTAGAGCTTGGAGATAATTGAAAATCACTTAAGTAATTTATTTTTGGTCTTATTGTTACTGTGATAGTGGATATTTTGCTAATGAGAGACAGTCGAATCCAGCGTTGGTCGTCATTTATAGTTCTGAGTAATGAATTGAATTTGTTTGGTTAACTCTGACTTTAATGCCTAAATATATGATTCTGGGGAAGCTTTTCTGGACTCTGCGCCAGTGGCCCTTCTGGTATCCCTGTATTCAGCCCCACTCAGTGCTTCAGAGAGCACTGATGGGCCAACACCTGACTCCATAGTACCACCTAAAGCTCAGGAGACCATTGATGAGCCACAGCACTGCCCAGTGCTCTGGAAGACCCAGACAAATGTCATTTAGTGTGCCAGAGGACACCAATGGACCAGCACTCAATTCCACAGTGCCACTCATTGCAAGAGAACTGATGAGTCTGCATTCGACAGCAGCAGTGGCCACATCCTTGGCCACCGGTAGGACAGTGGAGTCAGGTGCTGCTTCAGTGATGCTTTCTAGGGCACTGGGTGGCACTCTGGAGTCATGCACTGAATCATCTGTGCTCTCCAGACCACTGAGTGGGGCTGTATACAGGGAGTCAAGAGGGGGCGAGAATCCAGAAAGGCTGCTGTGCAGGTGTCCAAGACTTTTAGGGTTTGGATAATCGACAACAGAGGGACTGGATTCACATAAGACTGTGATAATAGTTATCTACAATTACATGATCCAAGAAAATGAGAAATGTTTTTTCATCAATGACCTGATTCACATTGGAACTGAGAGCTTGTGCAGACAGGGGGGGGATCTTCCACACATTCAGTCGTTGGTACACAGGGTTTTTTTTCTCCAATAGACTCGATACACCTTTGACCTCCAAACTGCCCAAACACCTCGATGCCCCTTGAACGATGCTGCACCGTGCACAAAAACACACACATACACAAATGTTTGTTAAAGTGTTTCCTTATGTATCTACTGATGATTTTAAGTTTTTATGCTATTATAATGAAGCTGGTAGAATAATCGCTTAATGACATAAAAAAAACGGACAAATAATACATTCTAATTCACAGTATGTGTGACAAACAATATAACACTATAGCAATACGACACAAGAGCCCATACTATGCATTCATTTTACCACGGTTAAATGGTGCAGCATACTGCATTTAGAATATGTTACTAAATACAATTTGATAAAATATACTAGTATTCAATAAATAATTGAATATATTATTTATAATAATAGCAATAAACAATTCCTTTGCCATGCAGTGCAGATCATTATCAGTAGACTTGCATAACAGTAACATAACAGTAAAGGATTATTTCATGAATGGCACAATTGTTCTTAGTAAATTTAATACAGAGTTTAGTTCATGCCCAGTCATATGCATGTCATTTGCATGTTTTATGTTATTTTCTTTCCAACATGTAAAAAAAATTGCAGAAAAATGACAAATTTAAGTTTGTTCTCTATAAAGAATGTGCTAACTTATTTTTACTTAGAAAATCAACAAAATATGTAATTTGACTGGGGACATCTTTGTGTATGACTGTATATGGTGATATTAGTGTACATTGAATATTTTACAACAGCTCTGAACACAGCTCAGCCAATCAGATTTTAGAACTGGAACTATTTTGACAATGTAGACCTACAACAGATTGTAATGCTATGAGATTGCACTGGTTGGGGGGTTACTTTACCATGGTTTTAGTGCAAGGGTCACAGGGTGCCCACTGGGACCAGGCAGTCATTTTACAGTCGATGGGTGCTGGGGCATCGACCTCTCGGACCTTCCTTCTGGACTCTTGCCTTAGAGTGAGACCAGTTTCATTATTATGATGATTTAAATTCTGTTCATTTACAGCTCCTATCAAACTCAGTAGATCTGCAGAGAACTTCCTCAATCTCTCATTCCACTGAAACAATGATTCGACACATAACCTCACTATAACAGTTTTTAAAAGAACAAATATTGTACACCATAAATTTAAAATACTGATATAGTAAACGTCCCACATTTTAACAATTATATTAGGAACTTTAAATACAAGAAAATAAATAAGAATTAATAATATTATACTACATTTTAGTATGTTTGATGTTGAGTAGCGATTGAGCTGTATTGATTTTGGAATGTCAATCAACTGTAATACTCATTGTTCACTAAACTAAAATTCTTGGCTATTTTCAAACCTGAAAATTCTAAAAAAAAAATGGTGTATTGGCTTTCATTGTCTGATTTACACTACCATATGAATTGTTCCTGCAGACACGTTTATTCAATGTATTTTTATATTATATATTTTATATAGAATTAATTCTTTATTGTACCAAAATATCCTACACGAAACTAACTGTGTTGGACATTTTAGGAGGCATTAAACTCCTAGAGAATTGTAATTGAATCAAATCATTCTGAGATCAGAGATTTACACCCTTAATGCTTATATTCATTTTTATTAAATTTTATAAGAGAAAGCATACATACATGAAATCTCCCACACTCATTCCGACAGCTCGACGCAGGAAGCAAACTAGAAAAAGAATGGCTAACGTCCTCATTTTGACACTCATCTGGATGGTCAGGACTACAACTGGATCACTAGCGTCTGTTTGTGTGTACGCACCTTTTAGTATCAGGACTCAGTGTTAATGATTTACCAGATCAAATGTCTGCAATCTTACTGACAAGCTGTAATTATGTAAACGGAGAAAGTGTAGACAGAGTTCTTACTTACTTTGCTGATTTCCTATTTAGCTGTACAAATGAGTTCTTCAAGGTTTCATTAGTAAAGGCAATTCATTTTTAGCACAACTTGGAACTCTTTTGGTCCAGTAATTCTTTGTTACATGGCTACTAATAAACAACATATGAACTAAAAAACCACAATTTAGATATTTAAATGTGAAAGTTTATCAGAGCTATCTCAGTATGCAGGGTTCATTCAAAAGCTTAAGTAGTTTAAGAAATCTAGTAATTTAGCTAATAATTTGGCTTTGAGGCCTGATGTGCTAGCAAAGACTGTATAGAAATAAAAAAGTTCCAGAATGTGCTATGCATAAATGATTATAAAATATGATCATGTCAGTAATATTATTTGATTAAAAAGATGAAAACTAACAAAGTGTTTGCAAGAGAGAAAAAAAAATGGATCAAGTCTCTTGAAGTGTCTGGAATTTCCCAGCTTTCCATTTTTGGGAAAAGACAAATGCAAACATTACATTTGTTTGAATGCTCTGCCTTGGTGCAATACTACAAACAACTGTTTCAAACGGACAAAAGTCCAAAAGCCGTTTAACTTTTAGGTTGCCCAATCGCTGAAGACAGTTTGCTGTAAATGTGTGTGTCTGTGTCTGTTTTGCCTTTGTTGTGAAGACCACATTATTTTTGTTGAGGTACAGTCATTAAAAATAGCATCACAAACAGTTGTTTTATCACTTTTGGTTACCTAAAGAACCATTCATTTGAAGGACCTTTAAAAGTTTAAAGAATCTTCACATAATGTAAGGGTTCTATTAGATTTAAGGGCTCTTCCTGGAAACTTTACATCACGTGGAAGTTTTTTTAAAAATTTTTAAAAGGTTCTTTAAACTCAGGTCTCGTTTATAAAAATGGTTGCTTTATATACATAATAGTTTACACAAAGTCTGCGTAATTATAGAAATGTGTGGTCGTGTAAGTGTGTTTATACATGTTTCCAAAGTTAATGTTATTGCAACAGTACATTTTGGTGGAAGTAGTTCCAATTATGTAATTCTTGAGTTAATTTCTAACAAGGTTGTTATGCATCACTTGAGGCAGCACAGTATGAGTAAATGACGTGTATCTAGCACATGAAGGTGTCTGACACTGCATTAGTTGCAGATGCAAGGAGCCTTTTGAATGAAAGATACAAGAGGCATTACGGAGGAAGACTGGGCAGTTGAAGACAGAGGTGAAGAAGGCTGTGGGTTTGAAGTCACAAAAAATTGCATAATTTACCCCTTAGTCAAACAGTTTGGTGTTGGAAGTTTGGTTATTGAGTTTGCACTGAAGCTGCAAAGCTAGAGCTAACAAGTAATGGACGCTTGTAGCCATCCATTAGCATTGTACATGTATGCCTTGACCATGTTTATAAATAAGATAAAAGTATGTCATACAATGTGCTGTGGGGTAAGTATGTAACAATTTGAGCATGAGGTTTGAATGCTGCTAACAGATGGCTTTACAGTTCCAATACATGGCCTCACAGCTACAGTGCAAAAACACAGTAAGCTTTGGACACGAAAGAAGAACAGATTTAAAAAAAAAAAAAACATAGCAAACCCCAAGAAGTGTGGCCTCAGGTGAAAGTATAACAGTCTTGTTAACTTGTGTTATGAATGGTTTTGCAAGAGATTGTTTAAATGTTTCCACTGTAATCTACAGCTGAAACAAATGGCAGGAGTGGATTTCTCCTTTTTAAAAGGAGCTCTATAAGAGTTCTGTAGTGAAGGCAATGGCTATGTATAGAATCATAACAACTCAAGGAAACATTTGAATGCTCAAATAGAACTTCTCCACTATCAGGAACCTGTTGTATATGGTTATTTAAAGAACCTCCTAAAAAACACTACAAATGATACATTTTTACAAGTTATAGTATCCTTTTGGTGCTATATAGAGCATTTTTGGTAACAGTAAAGGAAAATAATTTCAGCAATATATACAAACACGATGGTGAGAAATGGACTCTGATGTCATGACTAACAGACAATTGTGGAACTCACAGTCTTCTAACAAGAAGCAGGCAAAGATATATATATATATATGATGAGAATTTCAATGTGCTTAATTGCCTTTGTATAAGTGATATAAGAACAACAATTTGTAGTTCTCAAGTTTGAGACCAGGAGTGTCAAGACCAAGTGACAGGTCAAGACCAACACCAGATAAAGTTTTTTTTTCCATAAATAATTTCATAAATATATATAAAGTTTATTCTCTGTTCCTTCTTCTCTTTTAAGAAGTGACCATCATTAAAGACTACTACTACTACTACTAATAATAATAATGATAATAATAATAATAAAAAAAAAAACATTCTGATCTGGCCTCAGGGAATGTTTCAATTTTAAGATTTGAATGTATTGTTGATATTCAGTAACAATAGAAAATAGAAACAGAGGTGCTGAACTCAGATGGTCTCGAGAACAATTTCCACCTTACCCCAAGACCGAGACAGGACTGAATCCAAATGATATTGATCCTGAGACAAGAACAAGACCACTTGAGTATTACAACACTCGTCATGCCAACAAATATGACCTTATGGGTTCATTAAAAATGTATTTATTGACTGGGGTTTTTGTTTTCTTAGACTAAATTCACTTCAATTAAAGATTTTTTCTCATCTTTTCAGTGTGAGATTGCGCTTATTGACCACAAAAACATTTTTAATGATCTTTTTTTAGAAATATCTACATAGGGTTCAAATAATTATGGAACTGTCTGTAATGGTGAAACATAAAAGTATAGACTGTCATATTTCCCAATTTCTGTCTTTTTCTCCTGGCCTAGATTTTCCTTCTCAAACTTGCTGACCTCACTAGCAAAACCCTGCACTCTGTTTCTGCAAGTTCAGCACCCCCCCTTCAAGCACGGGTCAGCTACGGCTCAGAACAATATGGCTCTGACACTGACTGTAAGTGGGGTCAAAGAAGAGGACGGGTCTGCTCTAGCTGAGGGATATGGACACAGATCCTGTCATTTATACCAATGCCATGTGCTGAGGACACCAATTTTCAGCATTTTTCTCCACACCTCCCTGCTTTGAGCTACTTCCCTTTGGCCCTCTCAGGAAATGTGAAGGGACATGAGGTCCGGTTCTCTTCTAAAGAGAAACTTCCTGTTTTTCAGGTTCTTCTCTACGCTCTTGGAAAAAGGTACTATGTTTTACCAAAAACAGTTCTATGACTTGATAGCAAAACCCTTTTTAGTGCAACATAAAACTTTTTCTAAAGGATTTATAAATAACCATATATAACAGTTCAGAGATGTCAACAAATAATTTATTTATTGTAAGAGGTCAAATTTTTTAGAAGGTTGCAAGTCTCAAGTAAGTCCCAAAGTTGCGTCAAATCGAATACCAAATCCAAATTCTCGACATTTAAATTTCACTTCTTTAAAAAGGGTCTAATCTTTTCCCATAACATATGAGCTGACTTTAGCTCAAAGAGTGTGCATAGTAAAGATAAGTTTTAACAGGTTGTATACAGGATTGTCAGTTCAAGTCTCATGTCTTTAGTGAAGAAGTCTGAGCCAACTTCTCTTTTTTCCAAGCCGAAGTTGACCCATGTCCAAGTTGCTTGACTCAACAGTTCATCATTGATCATGGAGAACAACCATTTAAAGAACCATTTAAGCATTCAAATAACAACAAATGACAACTCTATATAAGGATCATTCTACCAAATTGGTTCAAGAACTTGGTCTTCAGACTAAAATCCTTTTGCTTTGAATGACCCTAAGCCTTACTTATGTTTATTTTGTCAAAAGTAATGATTGCCAATACAATAATAACACTTCTAGAACTTTATCAAATGTTTTGGTAGTGACTGTTTTAATATTTTGATAGTGACAGTTTTAACTCATTGTGGCCATGAGGGACATGGATACAGTCTTATTTCCTGCTCTAAAGTTCAAAGATGAGGCTAAGCAAAACACAGCTTTAAATAGCTGTACACACATCAAGTAATAATAATTTCATTAGAACAAAAATGTTTCAGGAAATATGTATTGCGGTAGTGATAATTCTTAAGGTTACACATTGATTTTCAGACACATGGGGCACATTTACTTCAAAACAGTGGGATCTAACTGCTTACCATGTGGCCATGAGGGACATGGATACAGTCTCATTTCCTGCTTTAAAGTGCAACGATGAGGCTAAAGTAAAGCTCTGCCTATGGACTACTCTGTGTTTCGGTAGGGATATAAAAATGTGAGACAGCATTTTTTAAATAAAGTTTTCTTTTTAAAAATTAAACGTAAACTTTCCAACAGTTCATTTTATAATACATTTAAACATTCCAACTTCACAATAAAATGCATCAAAAGTAAAAAATTGTACAATTTTCACAGGTTTAAATTCAGGAGTTAGGGTTCAGGACAGACCCTTCCCAATAGATGGTACCATATAAATTACGATTTTGTTTATATTTTTCTTATTGCTATCTCAATTAATGCCTTGGATTTAAATAGAAGTAGTTTTGACAAATTGTGCGTCTACTGTGATGCACAATTTGTCAGCCACACACTGCCCAATTAATCACTGGTAAGTTTCTGACTGATCAAGACTGCTGTTGATCTATTATTATATGGGTCAAAAGTGACACTGACATGATAATGTGGATGGCACTGGTACAATTGTACCAACTGGGGTCACGTACACTGACTGGCCACTTCATTAAAACCACCTCCTTCTTTCTACATTCATTGTCCATTTTATCACCTTCACTTACCATAAAGGTGCATATTGTAGTTCTTCGATTACAGACATTAGTCCATCTGTTTCTCTGCATACTTTGTTAGCCTCCTTTCACCTTGTTCTTTAATGGTCAGGACCCCACAGGACACACATGACAGAGCAGGTATTATTTGAATGGTGGATCATTCGCAGCACCGCAGTAACACTGACATGGCGATGGTGTGTTAGTTTGTGTTGCGCTGGTATAAGTAGATGAGACACAGCAGTGCTGCTGGATTTTTTTAAACACTGTGTCCACTTACTGTCCACTCTATTAGACATTTCTACCTTGTTGGTGCATCTTGTACACTTGGCTTGATATTTTTGGTTGGTGGACCATACTCAGTTTTTTTTAATATAGGCCCATTTTGAATTTGATGCCAACAACATGTTTCAAAAAAGTTTGTACAGGGGCATGCTTACCACTGTGTTGCATCACCTCTTCTTTTAACAACACTCTGTAAGCGTTTGGGAACTGAGGAGACCAATTGCTGTCGTTTTGAAAGGGAAATGTTTTCCCGTTCTTACTTGATATAGGATTTCAGCTGCTCAACAGTTCAGGGTGTCTTTTGTCATTTTTTCATTTCATGATGTTTTCAATGGGTGACAGGTCTGGAAGGCAGGCAGGCCAGTTTAGCACCCGGGCTCTTTTACTACGGAGCTATGCTGTTGTAATACGTGCAGTATGAAGTTTGGCATTATCTTGCTAAAATAAGCAAGGACTTACCTAAAAAACCTTGTTTGAATGACAGCGTATGTTGCTCCAAAGCCTGTATATACTGTTTAGGTTTAATGGTGCCTTCATAGGTGCATTTCTCCCATGCCATGTGCACTAATGCACCCCATACCATCACAAATGCTGGCTTTTGAACTGTGCAAGCTGGATGATCCCTCTCCTCTTTAGCCCAGAGGGGTCCATCATTTCCAAAAAAAAAAAAAAAAATCAAATTTTGGTTTGTCAGACCACAGGACACTTTTCCACTTTGTGTCAGTCCATCTTACATGAGAAGGCAGCAGTGTTTCTAGATCCTGTTTATATATGGTTTCTTTTTTGCATGGTAGAGTTTTAACTCGCATTTAAAGTGGAACTGCACTGATTTAGCCAAATTACGTAATCATTCAATGGTTTGGATCTAAACGAAATCATTCTGAGTGGGTTGGTGTGAAATGCACTTTTCTAGGGAAACAGTTCACCATTATAGTACTATGAACCAGACATCCGAAGCATTTAATGGCTCTAAAAACTATTGTTAAAGTATTACACAAAATGGTTGTGAATGCATTGCTTGATACCTGAAACATTGTTTTGTGATCGTTTTGTTATAAAGTTTTGGCCAGACATGGCCAGAGTGAGTGTGGAAAGCTGTGCTGTGCTGTGCTGTGCTGGAATCTGAGCTGTGGTGACTCACTGAGAAGTTGCATGTCTACAGCCCATGGTGTTGTAAGAGGAAGGGCATGTTTTTGGGCGATATTAAGGTGTTTCCCACAGCTTTTTATAATGAGTCACACAGCTCAACTTTACATGTATAGTGTATTTTGTCATTTAAATGTCACATGCAGCTTTAGGACATATACAAAACAGCAAATAAAAATGTAAATCAACAGACAGCTGAATATGAAAACGAAAGTAAAAGAATATATCAACTTACAATAATACAAAAATAATGCAAAAATAAAATATAGAAAAAAAGAAAAAGTTAAAATAAAACAAAATAAAATCAGTCTCACTGGTGCAATACCAACAACTACTTTTGGTTTGGTAATGTATCTTTCAATGGCTGGTTCTTTAAATTGTCATTTCAAAAAATTGTGTGTGTGTGTGTGTGAAGTTTTACATTATATTTAATATACTCCCATAACCATCATTATCTGGATTTATCCTGTTTAAATTTCTGTCTACATTCCATTCTTTTTTCCCAAGCTGACTCTCTCTATATATCTTCGGTTACATTTCCTGTTTCCATCCTCGGATGACTGTGAAAGCTACATCAGCAAATCAGCAAAAACTGGACAGGAAGGATGAATAGGATGGATGGATGGATGGATAGATACACAGATGGGGAAGAGTTTTCCACCCACCAATTTATTCCAGCTTCAAAAGGCACTTTCTGGGGGCATGTGTTTTTTTCTTGAGTTATGCGTGTGTATGTCATGTGAACTACAAACCTGACGTAGAATAATTAACTTAATCAGAGTTGGTAGTTTTACAAAGAATGGAAATCTTGCAATGTTTAAAATAAACATTTTTAACATGTCAGTTTCTTCCACCAAAAAAGGGTAGAATAGCATCTAATTAACTACAGTTATGCTGATAGATGCTGAATTTGCTAAGAGGTTTTGTTGCTGTTCTAGTCATTATTTAACTGAAGTATCAACATTTTTACTAAATTTCAGGCAAAGTAAAAAAAAATATTCTTTCAACAGATTATATTTTACCAAAAAACAGCATTTTACTGGAAGATCTGTGTGGAAATGTAGGCAACTAAATGTGAATAAGTGAGTTAGTGAGTGAGTGTTTGTGAGAGTGATTGATTGATTGATGGAGTGAATGGGTGAATAAATGAGTGAGAGTGTGAGTGAGCCAGTGATGGCTCACTGATAGTGAAAGCGAATGACTGAGTGAATGATTGAATGAATGTGCAAGTGAAAAAGTGACTTAAAAAGTAAGTGTATTAGTGAGGGAATGAGTGATCGACAAAGTAAGCAAATAGGTGAACAACTTAGTGAATGAGCTAGTGAATGTGTGACTGAGTGACTGAGAGAGAGAGTGAGTGACAGGGTGATTGGGTGAATGAGCGAGCAAGTGAATGAGAGTGTGATTGGGTGAATGAGTGAGCGAGTAAATGAGAGTGTGATTGGGTGAATGAGTGAGCGACTGAATGATAGTGAGCGAATGATTGAGTGAGTGACTGAATGAATGTACAAGTGAAAAAGTGACTTAATAAGTGAGTGTATTAGTGAGGGAATGAGTGATCGACAGTGAGCAAATAGGTGAACAACTTAGAACTGAAAGAGAGAGTGAGTGACAGGGTGACTGGGTGAATGAGTGAGCAAGTGAATGAGAGTGTGATTGGGTGAATGAGTGAGCGACTGAATGAGCGCGTTATAAGTTGAAGTTAAGGACAAGACACTTCAGAAGCAAAAACGCGGACAGCCCAGCGGGCTGCGTGCGGCACCAGTGGGAGGCGCCCGAGTGTTGAAAGTTGTGCTGTGTGAGGGGGCGCTCACTGTGGGACAGCCAGGCAAGACGTCCTGACCGGCACAAGGTCCTGAGCTTGAGTTTGACCCTCACATAAACTCCTGTAGCAAAGGGTCCGTGCGGAATCTGCGTTATCCGTTTGCTGTGCTCATTCTATTGGATATGGGATTCAGCAACGCCTAAACATCTGCAGGTAAACGTGACGGTCCTTCTGTCAGTTTTCTGTCCTTTAACGGTTTATTTGGTCGTGATAGTCATTAAGTTATATAAAATGGTGTAAAGTAGAAAGTATTTATTGTGTTTTGTTTTATTTGCAAGTGTCAAAATAGTTTAGAGTAAAGTGACTACAGGTGGTGGTGCTGGCCGTTTTACGGGGCGCATGCGCAGTAAAAGCGAACGCCATCGCTGTGAAAGCCTTTCAAAAAGTTATTTTTTCCCTGAAATGCTAAAACGTAGATTCTTTGTTTATTTTCTGTCTATAATATGCGAAATGTGTTTTTTTTTTAAATCAGCGTCAGTTCTTCACCTTTAGTGTTTGAAGTTCTGCGGTCACTGCACCATGTTCTTGCTCTGCTGATGTTTTTGGCCTCATCAAGGCAATTAAATGGCTAAAAACAGAGAGAACGATTTTTAGCTTGTAGTCTATGCTTGTTTGTTATTTAGCGTGATCTTCCCTCACTTAATCACAAAGTATCTTAATCCTGGTTTTTAGAAGACCCTACCCCTGCACATTTTAGTGTTGCCATGACTTCAAGCCACCTCACTCAACTAATCAACTAATTTCGAAAAAATTAAGGATTAAACAGCTGTGTACTCCAAGAATGTCATCAGAAATGCTGTGGCGTTTCGCGTTTTCTGTTGGCGAGTCCAAACGGAAATCTACAGGGAAAGCTTTCATCTCCCATCTATTAAATGTACTAAATGAGTAGTTCTGGGATTTCACGAAATTTTAAGATTATGACTACGGTTAAGTGAATAGGAAATCACAGTAGATTTCAGACCAACACTAATCGCTATCCACTCCAACCTCCAGTAGATTGCTATTAAAACCGCTGATTTGGTCGTCCTCCAATTCCTTCCACATCTCTAAGGTAGATTAAGGTAAGATCATGCCGGAAATGTTGAATAGTGGTAGAAATGGTAGTAACAGCAGTTTTAGCATGGTAAATTGAGTTAACATGTAACCTTCTTGGCCAAACATGCCACTTAGAGCTGTGGGATGTTTTTTTTATGAGTGCTGTCAATTGTTGCTGACTCCTGCATTTTTAATGGAACTAGATTAAAAATGGTGGAGTCAGCTTAAATCCAGTTTAGTTACTGAACAGCCAGAAGCCATCCTCAAACAATACTCAAATGATTCTCCAGAGCTTTATTAAAGTCGACCATAGGAGTAGGTCTGTAACCAGGCTTGTGTCAAGTGCCCTAAAGGTCACAAACTGTGGCACTGAACATCCAAAAATAAAAAAGTTGTCTAGTTCAGTCAAACACCTCCCTTATTCTCTTAATGGTGTTCTTGCTGGGCAAGTTTATGGACCCATTTTCTGGCCAACAGCATTTCAGTTGATAGTGTCTGATGATCCACTGTTTCAGGATCAACAATTTCATTTCAGAAAATGCTACAATTAGCGTCAAAGGGTAGAAAAGAATAAATTCAGTTTGTAAAGGTGTAACATTCTTAATGTGGTTTCGGAAATTCTGAAAAACAAACATTCTAACAGTGTGCCAAATTTATTTTGGATGAACTTGAAGTCTAGTTCCAGATTTGAAGGACTAATGATTTAGTGTTTGCTTCCATGTTCAGAAATAGATAAACTGTCAAGATTGATGGGGCTTTTATTCCTCTTCTATACTGTACTTGCATTTAAGATTCACATTATTATGAGTTAGTTTCAGTACCACCATGCTCCCTGTAAGTATGCTATCTTTGTATAAACCATTAACTGTTTTATAGACTGCCTGCTGCCACTCTTGTGATCTCAACTGTTCTTGATAACTTATCTTGCCACATTATCGCAATAGTCATAATTTACCTCTCTGTACATGTGGCAAAATTGTGTTTACATTTTAAAGTGTTACAATATCAATAATTTACATATTACTTGTTCTCAGGTTGATTCATAGCAACAGTTCAGTTAGTTTCCATTTAGAAAAGGCCACATAACTTTGTGCTTACCAGTACTGGACAGCAGTATTACAGAGGTTGTAAATATGTGGCTTGAATTAAGAGCTGATATAGGTGTTGTTTTTTATGTAGGTACTGCACAAATGTTGTGATTTAACGCAGCTGGTATTCACTAATTTAGGCTGAACAATATGCCAAATACTAATATCGCAATATATTGCACTGATAATTGCTTCATGGAGAAATATGTAAATGAGGCTCCTGGAAACTCTGGGCATACGTTTTCAGGGCTGTTCTGGTGTTCATCAGTGTTATCTGTAATGTGTAAGGAATTTTACTACTGTTTTCTTCTCCTGATAACAGGCTGCTGCATACACAGCACTGATAAGCATGTGTTAAGTCAGACTTGCTGCCATGGTTGAGTTTGTACAATTTTAAAACATAACATTCAAACATTCTTTTTCTCTGACTTAATTACCTGACCTAATATCTCTGCTCAGTCAATGCGCAAGCCAGTAGCGGGATGCCACATAGCCCCCCTCTTCAAAGGTCAGCCTTTCCGGCGACCTCACAGAGTTTGAGCAGAGGCCCTGGGCCATAGCGGGGCACACCATTGCCCCTCTGTGGTCTCTCTGCAGCAGGGGTTTCAGAATGCCTACCGTCCCGCTGATCACAAATGCCACGCAGCCACACGCATCCCCAGTCCTCTCTCAGGGCCACATCCTCTCCCTCGGTGGGCCACAGCAGAGAGACTGAGCGCTGCATCCTCCTCCCCAGGCATGGCAGAATTGTTTGCCTTGGCTATGATGGCTAACAACAACACCTTATTTACAAGGAATGTCCCTCCTTCCATGAGTGTGGCACCTTCAGAGAGCCTCTGTGCATGGCCACAGCGCAAGGCAGTGGCGGGACACCACAATCCCTTAGAATTTCCATTCCATTTACTTATTGTGTACATACATTAGTATTGAGCTGGTTGAGTTAAAAGGAGATAAAAACATTCATGTTCAACAATTTACTATGATGAGGGAAAATGCCACAGAACTTTAAAGTGAACTCTAAAGTGATGAAATTGTGCATAGTTATGCCTTGAATGTTTGTGCTCAGGCAAACTCAGAACATATGAAAATAAACATTTTAGATGTGGATATTAATGAGTTAATTTGTGCTCTATACATCTAGAGTTCTTTGCACTAACATCATATTTACTTCTTAAAGTTTCTGGTTTTATATGCATATGTTTGCATGTTTTTTTTTCCTATGTCTGTGCAGTGACAAAGTGTTTTTATTATTACTTAAATGTTGTTTTTATTATAACAGTACAGTAAGTACAGTATCTTTTCCCTGCCCATCCTGGTCAGTCTGTCTCAGCACTGTCAGACAATCCTATCAAAAGTAACATCTTTTAATTCTTCTAAACAAGCCCCATTTAGAAGTGTTATTGTGAAGTTAATGTTAACATGACTTCCCAAGTGAGTTCAACAAAACATTTACCACTGAAGATGGATGGCTCTCATGTGATCAAGTAGAAGCTCGGGTTAATGTTAAAACTGCAGCAAATTAACAGGTCACAAGATTTGGATGTGTCTCAGTAGTTAAAAGGACAAGGACTGTGGGTTTAACTGCCACTGCTTCCTCATCAGTTGCAACATCTGCATTGCATGCAATTACATGTAGCCTTTGTGAGGGGCGTATTATGAGTCATGTGACTTTATAGCCCACTGTGGATGTTTGGGCTATATGCTTTTTTCAAATAGTCTAATTTTGCACTGTAAGTAACATTTCAAGATTGATGTGTTACTTAAATTAGGTGAATAATTACATTTGTGCATTTAAAAAATGGAGTTGTACCAAAATAATGCTGTTCAGTCAGTCCCATCAGTAGACTGGTTTTGTTGAGGAGGAGAATCATAAGATGTAGTCTGTGATGTGAGCATGACAAGCACTTGGAATAAAATTAACTGGGTTTAATTACTCAACCTTTGATCTCTGCCAACCTTTGCTCATATGCTCTTACCGTTTCTCTGTACACTGTGGACAGCCGAGCACATCATTTGGAGGTAGGTCTCTCTCTTCCCACCTCCTTCCTGTTTTATCACTGAGTTTATTTAGTTTTTAGTTTTTTTTTTTCTTTATTTAGATTTAGCAGTCATTGGCCTTGCAGATGGTCTTATTATGTTGGTGTTTGACTTGATTACTGGTCTTTTACCTGGTTAGGTGAACTGAACTGCATTGATTCTGTCACTGCTGTTATGATCCATCATAACTTTGTATGTAGCCTGTGAGCTGGTGGTGAATCTAATGGAGTGTATTCTTGTCAGTCTGTGCCCATTGGGGCTGAGAGTTGATCCCAGAAAATACTTGATTCTTAGATTCCAAGCATTTGAGATTTGAGAGTTGATTCGAAGGCTTTGGATTTGATTGCCCATAATGATCAAATTTGCTAACTAGATAGCCTGTCTGAAAAATTGCTTTGCTCAAAGAGCAAAGCTAACAAACTAGCTTAATATCATTGTTGCTAGTCATAAAGTCATAAGTTGACGGAGGGGAATTGGGGATTGTTAGTTGGCCATCATAGTCAGCCTAATTTAGCAGTGCGCAAAATACTCCTTGGTGTTTGGGAAGGTCCCATGTTGGCTGGTTAATTCAGCGTTGGCTGGCTGCTAACTCGTTCGCTGGCACTGATGCCAGCTGCAACTCAACAAAATGTTTGGTCTAACAATTCCTCTTTTGGAAATGCTCTTTTCTAGTTTATTAGTGTGGTCTTCCACACATTAACTGAAACCTTGCTCGCCGATTGTGGGTGAAGCAGCTAAACAGTGACTTTTCCCTGAATTTGTATCTGGGCATCAGTTTCTCCCCTAACAGACAGCATAACATCATAAAAAAAATATTTTCAGGGACCCCTCAGGATTTTGATTTTTAGACGTTCAGGGTGCTCAATAGGTTAATTAGAGGGTCCTGGACCCCCTGTTTTTTGCTTCTTGAATTCAGCTAACATTAGGTCTCCCTGGTAGCTTAGAAAACTTTATGTACCAAAATGTTCAAATTAACAAATTATTGTAGTAGTGTTAAGTTTGTAGATATAGCTACCAAGCTCATTTGGAGAGCTGAGAATCAATAACTAATTTGGAGAGTCTGTCAATAGAATGGTTTTGCTGAGAATCTGTGACGCAAATAAGGACAACAGGCCAGTTTCTCAGATCCAGATTAAGGCTAAGTCTAGACTATTAAGAATTTCTAATGGTGTTTCAATGTTGGCATCAGTTTCATCCAAAACTAGGCTTAATCTCTGTCCAGTGTAACTGGCCCAAGTTTATGAAATATGTTAGAGGAAAGTTTTTGAAATGAGAAAGTTAAAAGGTAGGTAGCAGCGTATGATTTCCAGTCTCTTTGGAGTTTACGTGAAGGACTAAAATAGAAGTTTGTCATAAACAAAAAAGCAAACAAAAGCATAGTAACAAAGGGAATGTCTCTGGGCATATTGCTACTTGATAAACTTTTGAGACTGGGTGAAATGCTCTTTCTGTCCACTTGGCAGGGGGGCATGGGAGTAAGAAAAGGTCATTAAAGCTATAAACCATCAGCTTTTCCCTTTTTCTTTGAATCTGTTTTTTCAGGACTTGCAGTTGTCTTTCCCCTTCTTCCTTCCTTTGACCGTAAGGCAGGAAACCTCTTCTTGCTGACTCTGTGCTCTTTCTCCTTCTCCTCCAGCACAAGCCATCCCTTTTAGTAGCTTTTATTACTAACTGCTTGAAGTGCTGCAAAACAGATGGTTATGACTTTGGCCATATTTTTCAGGTTTCTTATTAGTTAGGTGTATATATAGAGAGATATTTACTAATTTTTTTAAAGCCTTTGTTTTGGGGTGATTGCTGTAGTGCAAGTTACTGCTGGGACCGCTCCCTTTGTATGGGAAAAGTGCTATTATCATTATTATTGTCATTTAAATGCTATTATGTGTATTTTTCTCTTTTTTTTCCCTGCAGGCAGAGTGCTGAGGATGTGTGCCTGCTGAATATCCTGACTGCACGTGTCCTCTTGTTTTGAGGAGTCTTGGACCCCCTCTCCCTCCTCCTTGTCTCTTTTTTCTTCGTATTGTGGTGCTCTGACCATGTCAACAGAAGTTGAGCCCATTGCTGTGGTTCCAGTAGCCCCCGATGGACCCACTTCTGAGCCCACCTCTACTACTGCTGCCACTGAAATCAGCCCAGCAGTTCCTGCAACAACCACAGCACAAACCACAGCTGTAACAAAGACTCCATTCTTCTCCAGGGAGAAGAAGAAGGGTACAACTGGACTTTTGTTATGTCTTTGAGTCTAGATCAGGGATATAAAGCTGACCACAACAATTTGATTACATTTCTTTAGGCTTCATGAAATCTCAAACTTAGCACTCTTTGGTGAGAATACACAAATGCAACCTTTTACTCAGCAATGGAGTATAGACAATATATTGTATCAAGCTTTTAATAATTTCTAATAATTTATTTTGGCCAAAAAATAAATTGTTTTTATTGTCTTTTTGCCACATTTGGATAAATACTCGGATGTATTTTTACACCCGCTACTACAATTTATGAAGACAGTTCAGAACAATAAATTGTAATACCGTAAATGCATTATGGAAAATTAGGCTCATAACCCAAATATGTATTTATTATAGGATTGCTTGTATTTGATAACCAAAAAGCCTGATCCTTGTAGGGTAATGGCAGTCCTAGAATGAATACATATTTGGGATTTGATCCTACTTAAAGGGCCTTGTATGCTTTTAAGCCCACGTGTTCCCTATAAATGTACTTATTGGAAGAAAAATATTAATATTAATAAATCACACATTTATGAATAACAGTAATGCTCTTTTTAAGAAGGATTACTAAGTATTAATACTTTATATATAAATTCATGAATTATGAATATTCAAGGGCTGTCATTTATTGTTATTTATATTTTGATAAGGCAAATGATATTTTAGATATGTTGTTTGCCCAAAGAATTCTGGAAAAAAAAATTTGCTTTAGGAACACTAAGTTTTCATGGTGCCCTTGACGTGTTCAGGATAGTCCCCCACATAGACACTTATTTTGGCTCAAACTCACCTTTTTTAAGTATTCCAAATTTTAAAAGTAATTCACATTAACCATACTAGTAAATTATGAGGTAGATGGGCTTGTGCCTCGTATGTGTGAAAGAGGTATGCTGAACTTCTGCCATCTGAATTGCAGAAAAGGTTTGAGTTTGAACACATTTAAAACTTCATGACATCTTAATTAGTGTGTTCTCATAATTTTACACTTTTTACACTGACTTTTTTTTTCTTCCTCAGTTCCAGAGAAGACAGATGAGTACCTGCTGGCCAGGTTTCAGGGTGATGGAGTTAGATATAAAGCTAAGCTGATTGGTATTGATGATGTGCCTGAAGCCCGAGGGGACAAAATGAGCCAGGACTCCATGATGAAGCTAAAGGTAGAGATCCAAATGGGTTGTCCCATTAGAAAGAGGTTTTAAAGTGTATAGTATACATTTTTCCCCTTAGAAATGGAAGTGGAAGTTTATGGAATTTTATGTGTAAATGGAAGTTTATGTGTAAAATGATCACACAATGGCTTCGACTACTATTTAGCTATACACTTGTTAGCTGCATTAGCTTCCTAGTGCCAGTACAAAACTAAGGAAGTGAACTCTGGACAACAAATGTGTTTGCTGATTAGGGGGTTTAACCTCTTGCATTATTTGTTACAGGTCTATAACAATTGCCTTTCTAAATATGTACTGTACATGTAAACCTTTTCAGCTCACTATAGTCATGCTTTTGAGTAATTGTTGTAAGTGGTGCAGTCTTATGGTTTTGACACTGTGTGTTGTACAAATTGTGTTGTAGGGCATGGCAGTAGCTGCTCGTTCCCAAGGCAAACACAAGCAGAGAATCTGGGTGAACATCTCGCTAAATGGGATTAAAATCATTGATGAGAAGACTGGAGTAAGAAGCACAATTATTTTCTTTACATTTTACTCCTACTTCCAGTCTCTGGATGTCCATATATCTGTATTTTAATAAACAAGTCCTTGTTGCAGACTTTCATCTCTTCTGTCCTGCAGGTGATTGAACAGGAGCATGTGGTCAACAAGATCTCCTTTATTGCTCGTGATATCACAGATAACCGGGCATTTGGATATGTGTGTGGGGCAGAGGGTCAACACCAGTTCTTTGCCATCAAGACAGCCCAGCAGGTCTTGTGTCACATGTGCTGTTGCACACAAGTTTCTTTTTATTAATGTATATGCAATACTGTGCAAAAGTCTTGAGTCACGTAAGAAAACTGCTTCAATCTATTTGTTTGCTTATTTGTCAGAAACAGAAAGTGGGTTTTAAGAAAAAAATTCTTCTTAAAAAATAATTGAGGCCAAATGTTTATTAAATGCATGAGTATGTTTAAAATGCAACAGGCTAAAATACTACTAATATAAAATTCCAAACTTTTCAGAATTAGTGTCTGCTTTCACTGACATTGATTCTGAACAGTATCAGAGACAGTATTATTTAGGGTTCTTCCTAGGGGTGGGAATCTCTAGGCGCCTTTCAATTCAATTACGATTCAGAGGGCTGCGATGCGATTATAAAATGATTATTGATGTATCTTGATGCATCTCTATACAGGATTTCTTTTTTCTCACTGTGTGAGGACTTGGTACTTAGCAAAGTATCAGCAAAGTATTTGTAATGTTCCATAATGAATTTACTTCCAATATATCTTATTAATGAAACAAATGGAAGTGATGAGGCAAGTGAGCTGGAAGGCCCTCATTCACTTCTCTTGTTTGAAGCACATGAGACGCAGACTGCCGCTCATCTGTGATAAAATGCGCTGTTACTGTGACATAAGGTCCAATGGCAATGGATGTCCACACATCACATGTTACTGCTATCCTACCGGTTTTCTTCAGTGATTCCATAACTTCGGTTTTGGTCTCGTTGTAGAGAGTGGGGATCGCAGTGTCACTAAAATATCTTCGAGACGGGCCGCTGTATCTCGGCTCCAAAGTGTGCAACATGGCACGAAAGCCTTGGTTCTCAATGACTGAGAATGGACGCAAATCCTTGGCAATAAAAGTTGTGATAGAGTTTGTAATTCGTTTCCAATTTGGGTGGAAGCTTTGACATCGCTTGCTCGATGGTCCTCTAAGCAAGTACAATCGGACGGATAACGAGGGGAAACATGTAATATGGTTTCTCATGTTTATCGTTTCCAAAATATTTTAGTTTAGTGTGACAGAACTTGCATGTAGCATGGATCTTGTCCCGGTCCCTTTTCCCCGTCAACTTCATAGAAGCCAAAGCGCTTCCGTACGCTAGCTCAGAGGTCGGAAACATATGGCTCTTCTACAGCCATGGTGCGGCTCCACAGTAGAATTAGATTTTTAGGTAAAAATAAAATAAGACTCCTTTGCAGTGCAATGAGAGACTGTCAAACACTTTAAAAAAGTTGCGAAGATGAAGTCAGCTTCTCTTTCGAATTTTCCCGTTGCACCTTAAATGGTGCCGCATTTACGTTCCGGTGCCTCAGGCAGAATTTAAGGTGCAACGGGAAAATTCAAACAAGAAGCTGGTGAATGAAAAGCGACTTCACCCTCGTAAAACAGTCGAACGTTGAGAGACGTTTACAAGAAACTGTTTCATGTTTGAGGAAAAGTTTCCTGGCGGAGATGTGAGGAAAGTGGCTATAGCTAAAGCTTAAAGCAGAGCAAAGTAAGTCTGAGTTTTCGTTCATATTTTTTAACCTATACTAGGACATTAGCACATACTGAGACATATTGGGCATAAAATGTTGTGGCTAGCTTTTAATGCAGAGGGTGCCAAGTCAGATTTCTCGCTTATCTGTTTGTGTGCATGCCACAGACTGTCCAGACGCTACACTTCCACACTTCCAAGTTCTGCCTTTTGCGTTCCGTCAACATTACGTTATCATTTAAAATTTAGAAAATCAATTGTTGATATTTGTGAATCGATTCAGAATCGTCCATGTCCGTATCGCGTTGCATCTAAGAATCATTTTTTTCCCCCCACTCCTAGTGTTTGGTAGAACATCACTTAAAATTTCCATCTTTGAGACAAGGGTCAAGGGGCCTATGCATACGAGTGTGCAATATTCACAATAACTAAAACTCAAATTGCTCCCTACTCCCTATATAGTGCACTATGTAGATCATGAAAAAATGGCTCCTGCATGATATTGTTCATTTATTCATTGCTCCTGTGTGATATTGTTCATTTTCATTAGCAGCACGCCTGCTTTATTAAATTAAAACATTCTTTAGTCCACCCAAATATTGAATGGTACCTGTAAATACTGGACAGCTACCAGGAGAAGCACACAGGTCTTCCTTTCCTAATCACTAATCTCCAAAACAGCTTAATACCTTAATATGATCTTAAAATACAGCCAAAATCAAAAGTTTGGTGTCCCAACAGGACATAGAGCAGCTCACCAATGCTTGTATCTCCAGTAGGTTGAACTACTGTAAAGGTCTCTTAACTGGACTCCCCAAAAGTACCATTAAACAGCTAAAGCTCATTTGGAATGCTGCTACAAGAGTTTTAACCAGGCCAAAGAGAACAGAGCATATTACTTCACCTCTAAAATCTTTATGCTGGCTTCCAGTTAGTTACAGAACAGATTTTAGTGCTGCTACTAGTCTATAAATCACAGCCCAGAATACATCTTGGATATGTTCAAAGAATATAAACAGAGTAGGTCTATTAAATCCATGGATTCAGGACAGCTAGTAGAGTTCAGAGTCCAAACTAAACGTCATGAAGCAGCATTTAGCTGTTATGCTGTACACAATCGTAACAAACTGCCAAAAGTTTTAAGATGTGTCCTATAAGTAGCAGTTATTAAATCTAGATTCAAAACATTTGTTTTATGTCCCTATGATTGAGCTCTAAAATTTGCACTCTATTCTTATTGCTCTTTTCTTTTTAAGCTAATTATTTTGTACACCTTTAATTTTGTTTTTAAGATTTTTTTTAATCTTTTATACTTTTTCATTCCTTCTGTCTTTATTTTTCTTTTTGATGTTCCTTTTACTTTTATATGTATAGCACATTGAATTGCCCTTGTGTATGAAATGTACTTGCCTTTCCTTACTGCCCATATATGTCGCTTTAAATGTATTTTTTTCATGTGGACGAAGACTTTCGATTAATACGATACATTATGTCTTTTGTTTCTATTACCGTCCTGTCATTTTGTACATCATTGCTCTATATTCTCATCAATCCTCTAGGCAGAGCCATTGGTAATGGACCTGAAAGATCTATTCCAACTCATCTTCAACATGAGGAAGAAAGAAGCAGAGAATTCACAGAAGGTAGCAAACTCTTTCTGAAAACTGATAGAATTATTTCATTTAAGTTATTCCCTTAATTCATGACTTTTATTCAAATACTGATGTCTGTAAGTGCTTGTTTTGATGCAAATAATTGGTTGGTAGGTAGGTAGGTGGGTAAGTGTGGAGGGGGGTCATATTGGCCAGACGCTTAAACCTCTAGTGTGGATAAATGTAAAAAGGGGTGTAAAAATGCATTGATGCATGTAAATTTAACTGTACAGAATTTAGAATGTTCCAGTGGATTATAGTTCAAATATTTAATATGCACTTTTTGTCAAATAAAATTCCTGGGGGGAAAAATACACAAAATTGTGTATTGTCCTTGTCTATATTCCATTTCTGCATTAAGTAGTTTCTTCAGTCAGATTTGTGTATTTACTGTATGTTTTTTTTAAATAAGTGTATTTAGTGCCTTTATAATTGAATAAATGTATGCTGAAATTTGAGATTTTAATGATTGAGGTTAGAGATTGACATGTCTAAACTGTAGATTATATTCAAAATGGTAGATCTTACATGGTGACTGGGGGTCATGCCTATTTAGATCATTCCTAAATATAAAAACAGTTTGACAATACTTTTGGATTTTTTTTATGAACATGGCCTGTGTTGAGTGAAATTACAAGCTCTGAAGGATTGTTGTAATTTACTGTATTTTTGTGCTGCATTTTTGACAAACACATGTTAATTAAACTCTCTCCTCTGTAAATATCATGTGTAAAATGCTTTTATGACTTTTTTTTTTTTTTGCTTACAGAATGAAATCAATAATATGGTGGTCGAGGTAGGTGTATAAATTTATTTGTAAGTGTTTGAAATATAGTTTGACATTTTATGTATACAATAAAATTTTTTGTTTTTAAAGAATGGAGGTGATGCCTTGCTCAATCTGGATGGTGAAGTGAATACTGTAAAAGTAGGATGTCTAATGTTACCCAGCAACTAGACTTCTTTTTAGACATTCTGTAGTAATAATACTATTATTTTGGTTCATTGGATCAAGTGTTAATAAGCCATTGTGTTTGCGCACCCTTGTGTGTCTGCGTGTTTGCAGACTGTGGACCAGATGGACCTTTTTGGAGACATGTCTACACCCCCTGACATCAACTCTCCCACGGTAACACACAATATAGCAAGTCAGAGCTCATCAGATAACAGTTGTTAACTACAATTACAATAATGTACTCTTTTGCTAAAAGCCAAGTGGAATAAGATAATTATGCAGATAATTTTTTTTTATGAGATTGTACCTCAGTCTTGTCTTATTATTTGTTGTTTGTTTTTTGTTTTTTGTTTTTTTTTTTTTGGTCAGGATGCTTGGAAAAATCAAACAGGGGTAAAGTTCTCATTAGTCTTTTAATCATCCATTTTAATGCTGAGCTTTGTGTTAACAACAACTTCTATGTTAACAACTACACGTGTGTGTGGTTTTCTGGAGACACCAATTATCTATCTAAATTCGTCATTCCAAATAAATCTGGAAAGACAGTGCAAATGCAGTGGAGCACTCTTAAAACTAAAAGTCCCTAAATGGTTCTTGGTTTCCACATTCAATTCTGGGGGGGTAATTGATATAGGAGTGTTTAATTATGTCAAATGTTGTTTAAAGCTTCTTCACCCTCACATCTCATTTGCAACAATGGTGCTTTTACCCTTTTTTCACTGTAGCCATAAAATGCAAGTGCAGCCTGTTTTGGAAGTCCCTTTGTTCAGCCTTAAATTTTACTATATATTTTTTTAATTGGAATATTTTTGTTGTTGCTCAGCTGAATTCATTTTGAGGCTTTATTTTTAACTTCTGGTTAATTTGTCAATGTCAAAATAATCAAAATCATACAATTTTATTTCACTATTACTACAGTACAGAGGAATAAGCAGTGATGTTTGTCTATTTTTGCTATCTTTTTCTTTGCTGATCTTTCACTTCCCAATTCTTCTCCCTTCTTGTCCTCTTTTAATTTTAGCCTGACAGTGTTTTGTTGCTGGAGATTGATGCCACTCAGAACCACCCTAAAGGAAACCCTTTTGTCTCTTATTCCACTGTTCCTTGCAACACACCCAGTGACACCCCCTTTTCCTCTGTAGACTTATTCCCAACTCCCAGTCCAGACAAATGCAATTATGATCCTTTTGCTCTGCACAGTGGCCACATTGACCACTCTCCTTCTGCCATCTTGTCCAATGACATCCTGTCTGTCATAACATCCAATCAAGGAATATGTTTTCTTGACTGTCTCTTAAATGGGCCAGTAGGACATAACAGCCTAAATGGAAACTCTTCCACCAATGGTCAGCCCTTTAGTGGACTGACTGATGGCTGTAGCTCACAGAAGAGCATGAGTAGCCCAGTCAGGTTTCCTGGCAGCAATCCTTTCATGAATTTGTCAGTGCAGCCCCCTTCTTCTTGTAACACACTTGATAAAATAATGCTTCCTGTGGCCCAAACCCTCTCTGTGTGATGGGCTCAGTAAATCAGTGCTTTCTGCATTGCAGTCTCCTCCACTTTATAATCGTGAAACTATTTTTCCACCACCTCCTAACTCTAAGATAGATTACGTAAGGAGGAGAGAGAAGGTGAATGTTTAAAAGTTTGGTGTAGTGGGTGCTGGCTAAAACTGCAGAATGCAACTTCCACATGCAAAAAAAACAAGACGATAGCTTTTGAAAGTTGTTACTGACATTTCCTTTTGCTGAGCTAACACTTGCAGATAGCAAGGTAGGTGAGAGTAGGGCACAAACAAGGGTAAAATGTGACCTGGATTTTTTATGTAGCTAAACAGGTTGTAGTGGAACATATTGTATTTATTTCCTCTTCTACTTTGTGGTCAAAAATAAATTTCTAAAATCTGGCACAGCCTTTTTGCTGATCATATTTATTTTGGTGCATGTATTTATGTGTTTTGGTTGAAAAGCTCTTCTGGTTCAAACAACACAGATTTCTGTTGAACTAACTGTGTTTTGCATTGATTTTTGCATGACTGTTACAACTAGCCCCTCAGTCTGTTGTAGTTAACCCCGTGTATTGGGTTAGTAGTAATGTTTGTGCTCGCTCTGCTTAAGACTGAATTGTTTATGGATGGTAGGTTTTGCAAACAAATTTTTTATTTGTAGCACATTGAGAGATGTGTTTACATTCCTAAAATTTTCCAGTTTTAAAAGTATTAAAAGTATCTCACTCACATATAAAAACCAACACAAAAACCAAAAATAAGTTATGCTCCACTCTCCCCTAGCATATAGGGGTGTAGCAATACACAGATTTCACGACATGACTTGTACCAGGGGTGTCCAAAGTCTGGCCCCAGGGCCAAATGCAGCCCGCAGATTGATTTTAATTGGCCAATATAATGAAACTATTCCTTTCACTTGATGGTGGCAGCAGTACTGTAAAGCTACAAATGCACTATAAAACATAAAATTCAGGAGACAAGGTAAAAAGAAAACCAAAGCAGCTTTTAATCAGAGCAAATTCAGTAGTTTGTTCAATAAATATTACTTGTTCTATATCTTTGTGTTTATCATATTTTACATATTGTATATTTAAAATAATTGAAATCAGCCTTTAGGAATTTGATAGGGTCCATGTTGGCCCCCTTTGAAAAAAGTTTGGACACCCCTGACTTGCTTGATGTGTTTTTTGCACAATACATTTCAGTACAAATGTACAAAAGACCATAGCTCAGAATGATGCCCCAATTAACACGATTTTCAAAAGGGACAAAATAATACCCTTTTTTGGATGCACTTTTTACGTCTGTTAATATTTATTTTGGACTGTGATTATTTTTGTGTTGATTTTGGTTGTGGTTGAGATATATTCTGTTGGCAGCACTCCGTCAGCTGATATCTTTAAACATTGACATGTTAATGTATGTTCCTGCTTGTTAAAGGGCTTACTAGGGCCTTTTGCATAGAATAATATGCTAACATGTATTACTTGCATGTGCTATACGTACATAATAATTCAAACCAAATCTATATGTTTTTTATGCCTCCATAGAAGTATGTGTGGTAAGTAGTATCTGTAGCATGTGAGCTACTCATGTAGCTATTTCTACATGGTCAACATCTTGAATAATTCATGGCCACTAACTGTCATGACATTGTATTTATTGTTGAGTTTGTAGTATATCACTTGTGTCTAGGCACTGGCTTTTATAATCCTTTGCGGCTTCCACAGTCTCCTGGAAATGACCTGTTTGGGGCCAACCCATTTGCACCGCCACCCCAGAGTAATGGTGCTACAACTCAGGCCAACTCTTCCATTCCAGCAGATCTGTTCAACCCCACTACCACTTCGTCCATAGCTGCTTTTGGTCAGTGATTAGTACTGGTGACCCTATTAAGATATTTTTTTTTATAGCAACTTTTCCCTCCTCATAACTAAAATTCTCATTTTGTGAAGCTATCTGGGTTTAGTTATGCTAATCATGCAAGTTTAAACTAAAAAGACAAATTACTTAAATGCCTGAAAGTTTCTATAGTTTGAAAAATTCCATTGTCCATTTTGAAAGTCCATAAAATAAGTAATCGCTGTGCTGCCGTCAGGTTGATATTTGGATCTCCCACATTATGGTAAATGTGATGGTACATTCATAGATATAATACTGCTCGGAAGGTGTGTGTGTGTGTGTGTGTGTGTGTGTGTGTGGTTTTTGGCATTTTAAACTGTGTTCTCTTTCTGTGCTTTAGGATCAATGACCTTGGGACCACCATCAGTTCCTCAAGTCCCTCAGACAAGTCCATGGGGTCAGCCAGCACCCTCAGTATTTCCCCCACAGAGCCATGTACTTCATGCAACAGTCCAAGCTATACCACCGAATTCCTTCCCTCAGCCAGCTGCATTTGGAGGAACATCAGTATCTCAGTGGGGGCAGCAGGCGTCTTCCCCATTTGGCTCCACAGCTCCCTCCCAAGCCTGGAGTCAACCAGTAGCAGTGGCAGCACCTATGGGCAACTGGCCCCCATCAGGGTTTCCACCAGGTCAGTTTCCTCCTATGATGATCCCTCCAGGTGGTGTGATGGCAGGCCAACAGTCTTCAGTGGTCCCTCCGCGACCTCCACCACGCCCCCCAGTGAAGGAACAGCCACCTGCTGTTAAAAGTGCCTTCACAGCCTTGGACCCTCTTGGTGGGATAGAGCAGAAGACTGGAAAGGACATGTTCAAAGATTTCCAGATGGCTAAGCCTGGAAGTGCCCCCATGTCTGGCTCAGGCACCAATGGCTCATTTGATCAGTACTTCTCCAATAAAGTTGGTGTACCCCAGGAAGCAGCTGACTATGATGACTTCGACATCAGTCAGCTTTCTGCAAAAAATATTGGTATGTGCTTAAAATGAAAATTACGTGAAGTAAAAAGCACCTTCAAGGAGAACTACACTTGAATTGTGTGTATTCTCTTATTTCCAGACCCACCCAAACCTGCATTTCAGCCCGTCTCTGAAACTGCTATCCCAGCTCAAGCTCCAAGCCTTACTCCTGCCCCAGCTGGAGGACTCTTGGATGCTGCCTTTGCTCCTCATCCAACTTTAGCCCCATCAGGCCCAGCTCCTGCACCAGCTGTCAACCTTTTTGATGATACTTTTGGAAGTGACCCTTTTGGAGCACCACCTGCAACCATGGTAGGATGACTCAAAGTCATCACGAAAACTTTAAAGTTGGTACATTTCTTCCATAGTTTATGATGGACCTTTTAAATTGGAAAGTAATGGGTCAGTATGACACAAATGGCAGGCAGTATTTGTGCCACGGGTCTAACTGGAACTGAAATGTTTTGCTAGTAAAAGGCTATTTAAGTAATGGAATTTCTATTGTACTAATGTTTGTGTTGTGTAATATAGTTTGGCTAAGTTATCACATCCTTTTTTTTCTTTAGATTGCTCCAGCCACACAAAACACTGTAAAAGCTGATCCTTTTGGAGACCCTTTTGGAGGAAATCCCTTTGCCTAAGTGTTGTCTTGTCCTGCACTGTTCAGGTGCATAAACACAGCTTGCTCTCCTTCCCTCACTCTCATACTTGCACATATGTGCACATGCATTCATTGCAAGATTGTCCAGATCTTTTAACAAGTAACTAGCATCTGATTATTCGTTAATGCATAATGTATGCAATAGAAGCTAACTACATAGCATATATTATACATCAATGCATAATGTATGCTATAGAAGCTAACAGTAACAGAAGATTGTAATGTCATTGCAGTGTCTAAACCAGAGGCAATAACCTTTGACATCTAATTTCTAGTCCTTGATTTTATCACTGATCATTAATTATATCTAAGGGTGCTCCTGAGAGACTCCAGAATGAGTGGAGTCCTATGGAGCAGTTGTGCAAATCATAGTTTAGAAGTGCACATAACGGTATAAAATATTTCAACATGGTTATTTGTGCAAATCAGTTAAATTAACTGTCAGTTACAAGACAAACCAGGACTGCAAAATGCGATGAAAGATTTCGAGTTTAATAACTCTAAATCTATCTAAACCATATCGCTGGACTGGATTTTCTTATGGCTTTCTTTAGACATCTAGATGACATCAACCTATAGTTAATGCGGAAAAGTGAAATAACTTCAGTTTTGGAAGTTTGGTTGTAATGTTACATTTTGATATTGACCTGCATTGCAGTTACCTACTTTTTCTATTTTGCTTTAGTTAGCTGGTTATAATGCCATCGGAGACGGTGTATGGCAATTTAAACTCAAATCAGGGTTCACCTAAATATTTTGCCATGGTGCTAAAGATGTAGGGTAAAAGTTCACAATTTATTGCTTCCACACTGCTTTTGAATTGTGTGTGTTAATATTCCTGTTTATTTTTTCCTTCCTCTTATCCTAGAATGGGAGGACCAAAAAAATCCTGCGGTCTGCAGCACAGTGAACTGAAGAAAACATTGGACATCGTGTGTTTATTTTTTTTGTCTGCACTTCACTGCCCCCACTATGTCAGCATATTTCTCCTTTTCTCTCTTTCTGTGCTTTTTGTAACTGATCTCAGGTCAGCCTACCTCTTATTAAATCAGCTGGTTCCATTTCCTGACGTGCCTGTGACAATCACTTAAAGCAAATTTGCTTAAAGCAGTTAGAACATGAGATCTGGGAATGAATGTGAGGGGATGAACAAGAGGAGGAAAGAGGCAAATGTATGTACATGGATTTGATAATATGAGATGCTCTATTCTGTCTGGCATTAAAGAAAGCATGACGTGATGCTTGTCTCCTTTTCCTATTTTGTCTTGCCCATTTAAACCATTCTTGAAATGCCTTTGTATGTGTTAAAAGGTTAAAGAATGAATGAAGTGTGTGTGTGTGTGTGTGTGTGTGTGTGTGTGTGTGTGTGTGTGTGAGAACAAACAAACCTAAATTCCAAAAGTTTGGACACTAATACTTGGTAATACTAATATTTGGACTTGTTTTTAAATGAAAACAAGTGGATTTACAAATTTTTATTTGCATTTCACATATTGTCCTAGGTGTGTAAATAGATGGCCAAACATTGGGCTTTATTAATCAATATCTTCCTAAGTTTCTTAAATGTGTTCTTGAGAGAGCTCCTAAGAAAGTCTATATCAGATTCATGACATGTTCTTAAACCGCAGAACTGTTTACACCTTTGTGCTTTTGACTGTGTGTAGATTCTGTTCTTGCCCAAGAGCAAATCCCAAATAAAAAAACAATGTCAGAATCTTTTGCAAAACCGGTGTAAGGGGGTTTTAAGAAGAAATTTCTTTTTAAGAATGAGGCCCATCATTAAAAGGATAAAGAATTTACTGGATTGTCAGCATTATGTAAGGGCGTCCTCCCATGTACTGGGCAGCCTTTGTTTGGCTCTTGATGTTGTTACAAGGGAACTGCATTCTCTTTGGCTGATTGAGGAGTGAGGGCACATTCTGTTCCAACCCAACCAGCAAGCTTGCAGTTACTGTGGTGAGGCAAAGAGCACTGAGATGTGACCAGATTACAGAGGCCATCGAGAATACAACTCCATCACCAGTGCATCTATTGTCATCTGCCAAGAATTTGCCATTCTCCCTTCAGAGCTATTAATACGGACAACTTTGCATCGCTGTGTGTATGGCAGACTGTAGCATTGGGGTGAAAGCTCTACCTCACCCTTTTGTTGATGCTTAGGGCTTGGATAACAAAGTTCGTCACAAGGGCAAAATAGACTACCACAATATAAAAAGAGCAGGTATGTTGTAGAGAAACTCAGTGCTGGAGTTCAATGTTGTAGAAAAGCTTAGGCTTCCCAAGCTGCAGCATTAACGTATGAGAAGCTTTTGCCATAGCCTACAAATCAAGGGTTCATCTGAGCAACTGACTTTAAATATGCCTCGTCCTTTATTCAAACGGAACGGCAGCTGGGACTTTACCCAAGACTGGCCCAAGTCAAGCCTTTTAGAGCAGTGCACCGGACTACCCTTTTTTCTTGAATCAGGTGAAGTTAGCTGGCTAGACTCAGCAAGGAAAACACTGGAAACATCACCTTGGCCTGGATTCCTGTGCTTCCCTCTGGTAACTCCTGTTTGCCCAGAAATCTCTCCTTCATCTGGAGTTGGACAGCAAAGGCAGATCTCACAAGCCGAATGTGACAGCAAGACCTGGAGGATCTCTCTGAATGTCAGTCATTTTTGTGCAGAGGAGATCAGTGTCAAAACTAATGTGGGCTACTTGGAGATAACAGGTAAGTAATGACATTTACCCTTTGCTACTGCAAATAATGTTGAAACCTCTTTTGTGATGAGGGATACATTTTTTTTAAAAATCTGAATGGACTGCTTCCACTGCTTGACAAATAGATTCTAAACTTCTTAAATGGTCGTTTCACAATTTTTATTATATTCAACATTTGAAATGCAAACAAAAACTCTGTTAGTGTTTTTCAGTGTGAAATGGTGCCTTTTGGGCCAAATGCATATCACACAGTCATAAAACAATGCCTCAGGCACCATACAATAAATTTATTAAATAAATAGCTTAATAACATTTTGTAAGGTACTTTTCAAAACTTCAGATGTTTCCTATTATTACTGTTGTGAAAAATTGTGTATTGGTAAGTTTTCCTAGACTGGAGTGTTATCCACCAAACAACTCGGAATAATTAGTTCACATATTAACACTGTAATGATGTAGAAATTTGGAATAATCTTTAGAACACCCCTATAAGACTGAGGCTGTGTTTTAAATAGTTGGATCTTTGAAAATGCATCACAATTTTTAGGTATCTTCATTTTTCTATTAAAGGAAAACACGAGGAAAGACAAGATGAACATGGAATTATTTCCAGAAGTTTTACAAGGAAGTACAAGTAAGACCAACACATTGTGACCCATAACTTTTCAGTGCTTATGTTTACTTCCCTGTCAAATTAGTCTGAGGACTAATGGGTACTGTATGGTGGATCCCCTTGAATCATTTCTCCTATGGGGCAGATGCCCTGCTCCCTAAGTTATTTTGTCTGTCATGGTCATAGATTGTTTCATTTGTCTTCACTTCATCAGGCTGCCAGCAGAGGTTGAACTGCACCAGATGAGCTCTACACTTTCTCCAGAAGGGATTCTTTCAGTGGAGGCACCTCTTGGTGCCTCTTCGATCACCTCCCCAACAGAGACAGTTATCCCCATCCAGATGCAGCAAAAGCAATAGGTTTGTTCAAGCATGTAAGGGTGACCAGCTTTTTTGCTTGAACATTTCTGAAGTTTGATTTTGTGAATGAATTTCTATAGTGTTGACTTTTTTTAATGTTTTGTCTGAGAACATTTGAACTAACTGTTTGGGTACTAAATAGACATAATAATTATTGTGTATATACCAGAATTATTTATAACCATCTCCGCTTATACATTCCATATTATAAATATTATAAAGTTATAAATAACATATTTGATCTTAATTTTGCAGGGTAACGTACTTAGCAGATTACTGTAACGGTGTCATCAATGTTAATATCATACCTTTTTATTTTTATGTTAATAAAAATGGTTTGATTACAAAATATGTGAATTGTTTTTATATCCTCAATAATATACCTATAACAAGTGTAAGTGTTTAATGTATTTCAATAAATTTACATTGTGTAATTATAAATTGCATTACAGTTGTGGTCTGACCAGCGCCCTCAGATGTTCCATCCTAAAGCGCTGAGGACATGTGGCAGCTAACTGAGTCACTTTAAACGAGCCGCTCAAATCTGAAAGCATCGTACATTTATGACTCTGTATTGTGCAGTTTTATGCCTGTGTCATCGTAACTTGATGTGCCTTGCATATGCTGCCGCAACAGAACAATTTCTCTATGAGATGTAAGGATGTTTAAGATTAACTATTTTTTAAGCTTGCAGTGGCCAGTAGAGGTCAGGTCTCTGCTGTTGGAATGATTGGACCCTGAAGACATTGATTTAATTTTGTGCATTTACTACATATATTTTGGTCATAACATGACAAAAAATACATTATTTCCACCAATGGAAAATAGTAAATCTAGACTTATATGCGGCGGCATGGTGGCGCAGTGGGTAGCGCTGTCACCTCACAGCAAGAAGGGCATGGGTTCGTTTCCCAGCCGGGTGACCGGGGTCCTTTCTGTGAGGAGTTTGCATGTCTCCCCGTGTCTGTGTGGGGGTACTCCGGTTTCCTCCCATGGTCCAAAGACATGCAGTGACCTGTCCAGGGTGTATCCTGCCTTCCGCCCATTGAGAGCTGGGATAGGCTCCAGCACCCCACTGCGACCCAGAAGGATAAGCGGTTTAGATGATGTATGTATATATGTATGTAGACATATATGCATATTTGTATGTTTATGTGACTCTAGCTGTCTCTCTTTGAATTATTCATGACACAGTGAGGTGCTTGCCTACCTAACTGCTATCTTCAGCCTTTGCCATCAGCATGGGAAAATTTCATGTTAAAGACTTGCTAACTTACACTTTTAGCTGAGAGTACCAGGTGATTCTAACAGAAGAAAGAAAAAAAAGGAGGAATAATGTTTTAAACAAAAAAAATGATTTACAGATTTTTTTTAAAAACTGTAATTGTACATACAAAGATTGCATGAGACTTTATGTTAATTTTTTAGAGAACAAGTTCTATAGCTATCACATAACTCCCTTAGCAAATACGTAATAGATGGGGGTGGAGGGCTTCATAAGCAAGGTCACCATTTAGTGATTTAATGTCTATAAAATGCTGTCTTTATACCAACATTACCCAGCCTTCTATGAACTTTGCTGCTAGCAGGCTAATGTTTGCTTACCTTCTGTGTGAAACTATAACCGCAACATAACATCCTGTAATCACCTGACTAACAAAATGCAATGAAATACTTTCATGTGTAGGGTTTGCAAGGGTTATGTGAGATTGCCACACTATTCTGAATTGGTAGTTCAAGTACCTTCAATCTACATTCATTAGCCATTCTGTCAAGTATACAACACCTACAATACATCCATCCATCATCTAAACCGCTTATCCTTCTGGGTCACGGTGGGGTGCTGGAGCCTATCCCAGCTGTCATCGGGCGGAAGGCAGGATACACCCTGGACAGGTCGCCAGTCCATCGCAGGGCAGACAAACAGACATATACATCCACACACACACTCACACCTAGGGGCAATTTAGCACGTCCAATTGACCTGACTGCATGTTTTTGGACTGTGGGAGGAAACCGGAGTACCCGGAGGAAACCCACGCAGACACGGGGAGAACATGCAAACTCCACACAGAAACGACCCTGGTCACCCAGCCGGGAATCGAACCCAGGCCATTCTTGCTGTGAGGCGACAGCGCTACCCACTGCACCACCGTGCCGCCCACCTACAATACATGTATACTTTTTTCACAAGTTTACAATTACTGACTCTAGGCCATCTGTTACTGTACAATTTGCCAACCACTTTCTAACATGCAAGGGACCACCATAAGACCACTGCTGATCAGATATTATGTGGATGATACATCATTCTTAGCACTGACATTGCATGGTAGTGTATGTTGCACTGGTCGAAGTGAATCAGATGCTACAGGTGTTGCTGGGGTTTTTTCACACCTTAGTGTCACTGTTGTGTTAAGAAATGTTCATCAAGCAAAAATATTCATCTAACAATGGTCCTGCTGACCACTGACCACTGATGAAAGTCTATAGGATGGTTAACAGAAATTGTGCATCAACAGAGCTACAGTTTCTAATTGTACACCTGCAAAGTGAAAGCTTGT